GGATCCAGTACATGATTACGCATGTATCCGTAACAATGTAGAAACTCCATTACAAGTGCACTATGAGTAAAGTATCGTCAGCAGATTATTAGGTATTCACGTTGCAAGAACCTCAAACCTGCCTTTGTAATACCTCCTTATATTAATTTATTAAACTTCTTTTAGGATGGAGATGACACAATTCTGGTACGGGTGGTTCCAGGAAAGTCTTCACGGCCTCCAGGCAAAATCAAGGTAAACTTTGAGGACATGGAGAAGAATCGAGAGGAGGAAGTGAAGAAGAAAGTGGAGGAAGAGAAGAAGAGGCGCTACGATGAAAACAAACGCTCCTTCAGGGATGCCAAGCGGCGTTCGGTTGTGGAACAGGTACAGAAATGACGTTTTTTGTGGGCGAAACGCGACGGTCACCGATTCTGCCTTCATTTTAAACGACGCATTCTCATTCGGACGCAGGATGAAGAGGAGAAGCCTTCCGAGAGGATGCAGGTGACTCCCGGAAAGCTGAAGATGACGTTCGAGGAGTTGGAGAAGGAGAGACAGGAGCACAAGAAGAAGCAGGCCGAGGGGGAAGCAAAGCGCCGCCTGCTAGACGAGAAGAAAGCGTTCGAGGAGGCCAGGCTGGAGATGGTGAACCCAACTTCCAAATATAACCCGCATTTCAATGGCATTTTTGCTAACTGTTCTTATCTCTTGTTTCCTGATTCCAACTGGTGCTGAGAACCAATAGTTGAGTCTCCAGGTTCCGTTAACTAATTGCCACAGCCAGTGATACTTTATGTACGAGACGGCAGACGAGCCGACCGGTACTTAAAACACCTTCCGTGGGTCATCAGGGAGAGAACGAGGAGGACCCTCAGCCGGCTGAGGAAGACGCCGAGGAGTTCCGACCGGGAAAACTCAGGCTGAGCTTCGAAGAGCTGGAAAGGCAGAGGGTGGAAGAAGAGCGCAAGAAAGCAGAGGAGGAGTACAAGAGACGAATGGAGGAGGAGAGAAGAGCTTTCGCTGAAGCCAGGAAGAGCATGGTCAGCTTCCCATAAATACAGTTTTCAACACCAAAGATGCATAGAACCTTAAAGGAATAGTTACACGTTTAGGGGAATAAACGGATTCCCCGAGTTGGTTCATTTTAACTTACTATTAAATTTGTATGCTAAATATAAGGCAGCAGCCAGTTTGCTTAACTTAGTTTAAAAACAGGTTGGAAACGGCTACCCTTATTCTTTCTATAAACATGAACTCAACAACACATTTGAAGTCGTGCATGGATTTATGTGACTATTTATTGAACGGGAGCATTAACTTCCTTGAATTTGTGCTGGTTTCCTGGCAACTGCGCCCTTGTAAAACAATTGTCATTTTTACACATTCTCAAACATCGATTTGTTGATTTTGTTACTGTCGGGCTGCTGTCTCCAGCCTTCGTGGTAAGCTAAGCTAACCGGCTGCTGGCTGGAGCATTATCTTTATTGGCCAGATAACAGTAGAATAGACGTCTTCGTCTAATTCACCCCCCAAAAAATACAAATATTTCCTGAAATGTCAAACTATTCCTTTAAGGTGGTTTCCACCTGACCTAGCAGCCCTCAGCGACCTTCTTATCTACAGTGCACAGAGATTAACTGACTCGCTGTGCTGTGGCTCAGCTCGTAGATGAGGATGACGAGGTGCTGATGGCCTTACTGAACCTGGAGGGCAGCAAGCCCGGGAAGATATGCGCCAGTTTTGAGGATCTGGAACGCCAGAGAAGAGAGGAGGAGCAGAAGAAGGCAGAGGAGGATGCCAAGAAGAGACTGGAAGAGGAGAAGAAGCTCTTCGCTGAGGCCCGCAAGAGCATGGTACGTCTTCATGAATCGTGTAGTTCACTGATCAATAACAGAAGACGCTGCTCAGGCTTCAACCTGGTTTGCTGCTGCTGACCTTTCCCTCTTAACAGAACATAAAAACACCAGCAAACAGCGCGTACATTTGCTTTAGTTATGCATAAAAACTATATATATTTTCATTTCATATTTTTCACAGAAAAAAAATAAGAAACAACTGCTATTTATGCAGCATTTTTCAATGCATGTATTTCCTATAAGTACAAGGTCTAGACTGGATGATGATGGGGATTTCATGCATGGTGTTTTTAAAAGTTCTCAACAATATTAAGAACGTCTCCTACGTGGTGCAACCAGTTACTCCTCCGCCACGGTGAAATCTCGTCCTCTTGTGTGTACTTTGCATAGGTACTAGATGAGGAAGGAGGGATGGTAAAGAGTGAATCCCAGGAAGCACTGCATCCTAAAAAACTGGAGATGAACTTTGAAGAGCTTCTGAAAGAGAAGGAGGAAGCTGAGAGGAGACGCAAGGCCGAGGAACGCAAAAAGAAAATGGAGCAGGAGAAGCAGGAATTTGAGCAGCTCAGACAAGAGATGGGCGAGGTCAGTTTGGAACATTGGAAATGATAGTTATCATTTACGCAGTTGTTAAAACAATCCAAAACACATTTGTCTTCTATCCCACAGGATGAAGTGAATGAAAGCTCCGACGTTGTAAGCAAAGAGTACGAAGAACTGACCAAACTCAAAAGGACCGGCTCCATCCAGGCCAAGAACCTCAAGTCCAAATTTGAGAAGATCAAGCAGCTGACGGAAGAGGACATTCAGAAAAAGATTAATATGGAGAGAGCACGGAGGAAGGCCGTTGATGATGAAATTAAAGAGAGAGAAACGGAGAGATTCCAGGAGGCAAGACATTTATAATCCAAGACGTTTGAAGTACTTCTAAACGTGGACCCTCCTGCTGTTATGAACAGGGCATGATCCCGTATATATTCAAATTGCTGTGTTTTTCAGGAGGATGGGGAACAAGAAACCCCGTCATTGAGGGCCGAGGAGTCACCATTCAAACAGAAGGTGGATATGAAAGCCAGATTTCAACAAATGGCCAACGCCAGAGAGGAAGAGGAGAGGAGGAGGATAGAAGAGCAGAAGCTGCAGAGGATGCAGTTTGAGCAGCAGGAAATTGATGCTGCCCTCCAAAAAGTGAATATTCCAGTTTCATGACCACATTATCTCAATCACTTTCGTTTAATTTGGCTAATTTAACAACGCTTTCTGATTTCTGTGTCGTCTGTTCGCAGAAGAAGGACGATGACGTAGAGGAGGAGGGTAGCATCATCAACGGCTCGGCGGCCTACGAAGATGAGGAGGACCATGCCAGGTCGGGGGCTCCGTGGTTTAAAAAGCCACTTAAAAATCAATCTGTGGTGGACTCGGAGCCAGTTCGGTTCACCGTGAAGATCACAGGGGAGCCCAAGCCGGAGGTGACCTGGTGGTTTGAGGGAGAGATGCTGCAGGATTGTGAGGACTATCAGTATATAGAGAGAGGGGAGACGTACTGCCTCTACCTGCCGGAGACCTTCCCAGAGGACGAGGGAGAGTACATGTGCAAGGCTGTGAACAGCAGAGGCACAGCAGCGAGTACCTGCATCCTCACAGTAGAAAGTAAGACCACCTTGGTGTGATTGCATGCCTGCATGATGCCCTCTGTGCGCATTTCTATCTCTGGCCACGAGTTGGATCGCACGCTCCTCTCCCTCGTGAACGCAGGCAGGTTGGATAACGGCTCTTCTGTTTCTTTTTCGCAGCCTATGACTACTGATGCCCCTTCCATGTTCTGGAAACTTTCCCTGTTGTCTGTCTCTCTCTCTCCTTTTGTAAAACTTCATCCCTCGTGGTATATTTCAACAGCAGAGGGAAGGAAATGGCAGTATGCTTGGCATTCCTAAGGGAGCGGTACACAACACACACACACACATGAATACACACACACATGCACACACGAATGCAACATGTTGTTTACGTTTGTAAAGCTGCACTCCCTGTAGAGTAGAACGATACTTGTGCCAAAAACAGATCCGATTATTGTTCCTGTGCTATCTTTGCTGCAATGGACCGATATTTGTGATGCCAGCTATTTAAGTATCATATTACCGTATTGTAAATATCACTCTTTATAGTCCATACAAACATTATGGTTGAGGCGTTGAAATATAAACAGTATGCGGTGTACTGATCTTAAAGAATAAGTTACAGGAATATCAGTAAAACATCGTGCTTCGGTATTCTGCTACTGCCCCACTACAGTTTTCAGAACTCTTTGCCAAATCAGTAACTAGTGTTGTGATACTTGTCTGCTTTATATCAAGGAGTAACATCAGCTAATTGGAAAAAGGAAGTGAAGGGTGTGTTAACAATTATATTGCAGGAACAAAATAATGTGTGTTTACGTCCAGTCTTCAAATGGAACTCTTTAGGTCAAGATTAAATATTTTTAAACTGCATGATCATCAACAAAATGAGTTAATATGTTGATTTCTCATTTTCGACCCCCCTTTTTTTCTCTTTGAGTTAAATATAATACTCTTGATACATCTATCACATTTCAGCTGACAATGGGTAACTGTTTTATGGTTCAATAATGGAAGAATAAACATAGGCTAGCTTGAATATTTGTCATATATTATAAATAAAATATGTTGTACAAAAGACAACTGAATATGTGTGGTTTCTCTTATTGTTGTAAGTGTTTAAAACAACGAACTACTGCCTTATCGTATCTGTTTTGAGGTGAAATGCTCCTTCGAGGATTTAATACATTTTAACCCACTGACCCATCATCATTGCACACATATAAACAGGAAGTGAATGGTATTGTGTCAACAATTTAGAGACGCAGTATTTTGGTTTTTATTTTGTTACATGATGCATGCATCTTAAGACGGTTGTATTTAATTAAAGTGAAAAGTGTTACCTAGTGTATGGTTCTTACTGGGTTGGCTGCCGTGTGGAGAAAGGAGAAAGTAAGAATAAGGATTCGGGGCAGTACGGTTATTTGCATTTGTTAGGGGGATAAGGCAGAAGAAATAGAGAAAAGTAGAATTCATGAGTGAAATCTGTCTTAACCGGACAAGGCCGCAAGGTGGCAGTAGTTGAACATCAAGGCTCCAAAGAAGAAGACTTACTTGCCCGTCGCCATGGTAACGTACACCGCCAGACACGCATAGTTTCCCCCAAACTGTATTATAAATTATTCACAAATTCCGAGTTATGCCGCAGCCTCGTTATGTTCACTAACTTAAACTATTAGCTAAACGCTGCAGGCAGGCCCGGGCCCTGTTGGCTATCTGTGTGTTAGAGGAAGGCCATCACCACGTCGCCACCATTATGACTGTATCGGTTGAAGACGTGTCTTCGTCCGTTGTACGGGAATATCTGAGCCGGAAGGTAAGTTAGCCGAAGTTACCTCCAGGTGGTAAACGGGCTTCGTGCCGTTTATAGCGGACCCAGCGAGCTAGCTAGCTTTTACTCCCCGAATGCTAACGTTAGCTTAGCTTGAACTCCAGTGGGAGGACTCCAGCTGTAACACCAGCAGCGGATATTCGACTCTTAAACCAGTTTTTGCGACATATTGTGTGACTGTTTCGCAGGGACTGAAGAGGACGATTGCTTGTATGGATGAAGAACATCCACGCACGACATCCAGTATCAACAACAGATCTCAACTGAGGCAGCTTCTCAACATAGAGGGTCTCTATAGAAATAATAAAGTAAGTCTTGCAGCTGGAAGTTGGCTGCTGTGCAAGTGACCTTTATCAAGACGTCTGTTTGCTGACCTCTCTGTCATTGCAGGCTCAGATCTCCCCCCTGAAAACGTTACTGGAAATGATTGTAAAGCATCACATTGAGGGCCTTAAGAATGATCAGATCACCATCAGTAAAAGTGATTCCCTGCAGTCCGCTGTGAGCTGGAACGCTGATTCTCCTGCTGAGACACCAACAGTGACGAGTGGCACAGAGACGGAGAATAACACCGCTTTTGTTATTAGTAAACAAATCAAATCAAGGTATTTCTTAATTGTGGTTTTCGATACTTTATTTTGTGCTGTTTTGACATTTTGGTTTGAGCATATATGATATTTACCTCCCTCGCAGGTCTGATACAAGAGAAATACGCCCGTCTCAATCCACACTTACATCATTATTGCCTAAGACAGATAGAGCGCCCAGTCTAAATCACACAGAAGACCCGTCTTGTGACTCAGAAGCCTATAAACACCAGCCACTAACGGCAGCCTTACGGAACAATGAGAGCGTCCTCAGAAGAGAAGCAGAAAAAACCACTTCCACCACTGAGAGCACCCAAAGGACCAGAATTAATCGAACAAGACGTGGCATGATTGCTGGACCAATCGCTAGTACACTTCAGGTAATAGAGATAAAAAAAAACACATCTAGTATTCATTGTATTACTAATATTAATCGTCCCCTGTTTGTTTACGAATGTTTTCCTTTTTAGGAAGCAAACAAAAAAAAGCCGAACCGAAGGCTAGAAGTGCGGCAGCAGCTACTCGGTGGAGAACTAGAAAACAAGCGGTCAAGTGATGGACTTTTAGGGACTGGCGTACATCAAAAAACCTCAGAGAGCGGCCTGTCTGAAATCAACTCGGCTGACTGCTTACGGGGCCAACGGGAGTTGTGGAGTGCACCAGACAAAGTGCAGAGGGAAAAGAGCTTTGAAAAAGTGCAACAAGACACGTTGACGACTACAAAGTAAATCGCTTTAAGCTGATAATATGTTCTCTGTGGCAACCTCATAGTGTTAAAGTGTTGAAATTATGTCATACAAAGTTTTATCCACAAGTTGATGTACATTGTGTCTGTTTTTCAGAGTAAAGTCTTTGGCCAGGCAAAAAGTGGCTTTGGATGTGGCTGAGATGGTTTTAGGTGGGTGCTGTGCATGTAGAAAAAATAATAAAATTAGCTTTTCCTTTTTATTTCCATTTTTTTCCTTGAATTCGTCAAAGCTAATGGGGAATTAATCAATTTTCCAGATGACATTGATGATGATGAGGATCTGCGTGAGCTCTCCAGAGTGTCCTTTCAGAGAGCCGGGACCGAGCGCAGCTACGCAGGCCGCCCGATGGACCAGCACACTGCCACGGTTGGTGGTTTACACCAGTGCTCCTTTTAGTTGCTTAACTAATGCTAGCTACTGTAAATGCCGTTGATTTTTCTGCTATTGTTTTTCTCCAGGAATTGAAAGTGCTTCTCCTTGGTTCAAGCTGTTTCAGTGTTGAGTGGAGGAATCAAGGGTTCGCATTCTCAGAAACGCATGACCTGAGATATGGAATTGTGCAGAAAAAGGTTGTATTAACTGGACCATCCTTCTGAACGTTCTGTAATACATTAGCTACATGTGATTTACTGATACGAATGATATTATGTACTGTGCATTTATTTACTAGGGTGGTCCCTGTGGAGTTTTGGCATCCATGCAAGCCTTTGTTTTGAAGAAACTGCTGTTTGAAAACGTTGAAAGCAGTAACACAGGCCTTCAGTACGTTATCTTTCAAGTCATGGCGTCAGACACTATGTTAACCTCTGAGTGCCCTATTGTAATCCCTTGGATGCTTCTCACAGTCATTAGTTCACATCAAGGCATGCTTTGTAGCCGCTGCATTTGGTGTATTATTTAACCACGCAACCTGCTTTCCACTCGACTGCCACTTTTTTCTCAGGAGGCTGAGACCCTCCAACACGACCAGAAGAAAGGTTCTGGCTTCAGCGACGGCTGAGATACTGTGGAGGGCGGGCGAGGAAAAACAGGCCACAATTGCAATGTAAGATCCGTCTTTTAGCCACTGAATGCTCTTCATCGAGACAACTACACAGAAGCCCATTAACAGTCTTCAAGTAGGTTTATTGCATGTAAATACTTACAAATTGGTTGAGGTCTTTTTAGAAAGGCCTGACAAATCTGCTGCTTCATGTAGAGCGTTGATTAAGAAAAAAAAAAGTATGTGTGCTTTTTGTTTTTCTTAAAACAGCAATTCAGGGAGGAATCATTTCACCCCAACTGGACACTTCAAATCTGAAGGAGTCTTTGAAAAGGTTCATGTTGTAACTATGTCAAGACTATACATTCACAAAATGAACTTTTCACAAAACAGATCCTCCGTTTAAGTTGTATGATAACATTTTGTTTTAGATCACATGTTTCACCGTGGATAACATCAAAGACCTGCAGGCGCTGCTGGAGCAGCATATCGATCAGGCAAGAAACTTAATATTAAATACCTCTGTTTCATTTTGCCGGTCAAAAACAGATGACCAACGGTATTGTTTCAATCTGTTATTCCACAGTTTGAGACCGGGGTGTCAGGATGCATACTGCTCACCATATCTGCAGTTCTCTCTCGATCCATAGAGAAGTACTTTTGCAGCTTCTCTTTTTGGCTCAGAACAAAGATGTGCTGTATAAAAATCCCTTTTGGTTAAATGATAAAACATCACCCTTAGTGGTCCTTCTCTTTCTTCTGTCTTTAGAGTAAGAGGCGATATGGACGTGCCCACCGCCACACTCATTGGTGCCCACAGCTACTGCACGCAGGTTTGTCTTGAAAAGAAACTATGCTCGGTTTTGTGATTTGGGAATTACACATTTGAATGACTAATGGAAGTCTGGGAATTGGTATTGATGACGTTGGTTAAGGGACTAGAGTGTCTCTTTGTTCAAACGGGAGTAAGAGCAGCCATTTCACCACATGTTTTATTCTGGTTACTAAGATTGCTTCTTGTATTTGTGTACACCAGGAGCTGGTCAACCTGTTTCTCTGCGGCCGAGCCGTTTCTAACGTCTTTGACGATGACATGGAGCTGGACTCCGGCCACGGCAACATGACTCTGCTGAAGGGAGTCAAAGGCCCGTGTGACGTCGGCCTGCTGTCCCTGTTTGAACACTACAACATCTGTAAAGTGAGTGGCGTTGGCTGCACACTCTTTGCTTTGCCAGGAATGTAAAAAACAACATTTGTTGTCAGTCTTCCCTTAATGAGCCTCATTTGTCCACACCGCCGTGGAGGAGTCCAAACGGTAATGTGTTGGGTGTGTTGTTAAAACCTTCTTTTAACCTGTAGAAGCCTTTTCCTCAGCCACGGCACCCAAAGTGTTGAAGGAATTAAGTGAGGAAATGCTAAATATCTTTCACATTTTCTACACATTATTAACATACACAGGAAATACCAAAACATGTACAAAATGTATTGTACTACAAAACACTCTTACGCCCTGACAAACTGTCTCTATATTGGCATGCAAACGTACCATGACAGGCGGCTCTCCAAATCCTGTGAGCATTTAACACTTTTATTTGAAAATAATAGGATTGATGATTGCTGGATTCCATTCAGCTGCTTTGCACGCATGTCCTGGTATCTAATAGATGACTGTTCTCTTCTGTGTTCCCTCCATCAAAGGTAGGAGTTCACCTGAAGACCCCCCGTTTCCCCATTTGGGTGGTGTGCAGCGAGAGCCACTTCAGCGTGCTGTTCGGCCTGCAGAGGGAGCTGTTGACCAATCGGGGCCAAAGCATGGAGTTTGAACTCTACTATTACGACGGACTGGCCAATCAACAGGAGGAGATCCGCCTCACCGTCTGTATGTGGCATCACTTGTTTAATGGTGTACATGTTTGTCTTTCCTGTCATCGCCTATTAGTGATTATTAGTCATTACCACTCAGAGAAATGTGGATTTATGTAAAATCTCTGTGATTATGTTTTGATCATGTTTTCCTGCAATCTAAATTATCTTGTAAATGCTTTAGAAAATGTTTTAATATCTTAACGGAAAATGCTAAACGCGTTTTTGCATGTCCAGCTGTTGGGGAATCGGCCCTGCGCTGTCAAGACGACGACACAGAGCTCATCCCTCCGCTGGAGCACTGCATCCGGACACGGTAACGATCTGTTGGCATTTAAAGCACACACACTAACTCACACGTGGACAGTTATGGTTGAAGATCCTACGCAGAACCAAAGAACGTGTTGTAATTCAAATACCTCTCCTGAAGAGTCTGTAAACGTATTTTGTTTTTTTTCGTTCCAGGTGGAAGAACGCGATAGTCAATTGGAATGACACAGAGCCTATTCTCTAATTGATCACATGGTTTAACGTTATTGTTCTATGAAACAATTCTGTTACATATATTTTCTTCATATTGTATCATGTTTTCTTCTAGTTGGTAAGATAATTGTTTACGTGAAATAATGGCCTTAGTGTAATACATCTCACAATCAGGAATCAGGAAACATTTATTGCCATAATGAGTCATACATACAAGGAATTTGACTTGGCGGTTGGTGCGTAACAGCAGACAGTACGACAATGGACGACAAGACAAGAATAAAATAAAAAAAAATGCTACGGGTTAGTTTAAAATAGGAAGGAATAAAAGTTAAAGTTAAAAATGAGGGCAGGCTGCAGCGTGTCATCCGCGCTGCCGATGTAAGCAACTTCTTCCTAAAAGTTTAAAGGAACTGCTGCACAATGCTGTGCGATGCAGTACTGACCACAGTGGCCTTATATTCTAATTTTTTCATACAAAGTAGGATGTATTTTAAACCAATATATCCATTTTAAATGTCTAAACTAGTTTAGTTCCCTTATAATATTTTAATCAAGAACACCATCATCATGATAGACCTCATGTGGAACAGAAAATGGTGAAATTAAGATTTATTTATGTTCCGCCAAATCAAGTTACCTCATTACATTTTTCATGTGCAGTTGCAGGCCTAAATTGTTTTTATTAATTCAGAGTAAAATCAAATCATTCACACCTCTTCTGTCTCCACACAATGTTTTTTTTTTGGATTATGTGTCCTTTAAATTATCTGCATTTAATCTGCTGTCAATTGATCAAATACTGCAAAGGGCAACTTCAGTATTTTCCCCATGGTTTTCCGTCTAGTGACTTATGGGGACAACAATTTTTTTAATTGGCCCGGTACTGAGGGAGAAAGCGTCAACAGCAAAACGATGATCGCTGCAATAATACAGTTTACTCCAATTCACTTTCATGAAAAAAACACAACAACAACCCTTTGTGCATTTGAGGAACTCTTTAATAGTTGATTATTTCTTCAAAGCTTAAACATGTTCCAAATAAAGAAACCAACTCTAAAGTAACTGTGTCACACTGTGTCAGGGTATAAAACACGTAGGATGCCTTGCAGTAAATGGCGCTTGGTCTCTTAGCCACAGTGTGGGGCACGCGGAGTGGGTGGCACGCAGACCTTTGCCAACACCTCCAGCACACCAAAGATCAAAGGCGCTTCGGCTGGCACACAGGCCGTGCTGCGTTCATTTCCACTTCCTGCCGAACTGTAAAAATTGGACAAGAGTCCACATGATATCTTGAAAGTGCAATGTACAGTCACTATAAATAAAGTTGCGGGCTGAATGAGGCTTTGGGGGTCTAAGAAATTGGATTAAAGTGTTTACATTGTAGCCACAAAATTCTTGTGCGGGCGGGCGGGCGGGAGGGTGGGGGGGAGGGTGGGGGGTGATGTACGTCATACGGGAGCCATGTTCAGGGTTTAGGTTATGTGCTATTCACAATGGTAGAATAGAATATTTTGGTAGGTGCCAAAGGGCTAATCCAATCACAATTGTACGTGTGATTGCAAAGTCAATTAAAACAAGAAATCAGGGATAATCCATTTACCTGGTGAGCTGCCGTCAAGTCAGAACTGGATTTTGCCTAAAAAGGTCCAAAGTGTGTGCAAAGGCCGGTGTTACTGTCAGTCAGAATCGCAGCGACTGGATGACTCTGTCTCCGTTTGAAAGCTCGCCGCGGTTGGAGGCGACTCGCTCTCGGTCAGAACCTCGGGGCTTGTCTCCTCTCTGCTCCGGAGCTTTGCCGCATCCGGATGCGGTCTGACAGAAAACAAACGGCCCGGCTTTGGTCTCTATTTACTATTTATCGCATCGGCATTTCTCAGAGGCACCAGAGGAGGGATTTGGTGCTTGTGTGTAATTGCGTTAGAGTCCTCCCACGTGCTGTCCCCGGCGCGTCTTCTGTCTCCTCTCCTAATCTATGCTGTTTGTCTCCAGATAGGTGATATCCTCCTCAGATTAGGATCCAGTGTCCCGGCCCTGCCCAGCTGGACTGGAAGGGATCCCCAGTGCCTCCCAGTGAGGTGCAAGCTGTATTTTTAGCTTCCTAATCCTGTTATAGCTCAGGCAGAAAACACCACCCTCTTCCATTAATTGTTCGAGGTAATCATGATACGATATTCCTGAGCGGAAATACTTGCTTTTTGCAGGTTTGACAACATTCAGGACTTTGATTGTTGGGGTGTTCTTGTGTTAAAGAATCAGCCCTTCAGAACCAGGCCGTCTCGTATCACGTTGGAAAACCTGCATGTATTTAGATTTGCAGATCAAAAGAAAATGTGTTCTTTCCACTCAAGTTAAAGTCCACAGCCTTTCTAAATGAAGCCTTTATAACAAGCTCACAACGAGACAAATTCTGCCGAGTTTTGGTTTGGTGGGTGCTTCCTTCACAGTCTGTCGCCATCTCTGTGTGTGTGTGTGCGTGTGTCTGTGTGTGTGTTTGTGTGTTTATTTTGCTACCCTAAAAAACAATCACTGTAACTATTCCCCCGGGGACACGTCTCAATACAAGATGATAAAGCAAATGACAAGAAGAAGAATGTTGGATCCTGTTCGTTGAGTGAAGACTCAGAGTAAACTCCCTCATGCACGATGGCCGAGAGGAGCTGCATTAAATAGCAGCTGAGGCCATCCTGCACCATCAGACAGCAACGCGGAGGAAATGATTGCTTTGTCTGTTTGAGGTCAGTTGTACCAGCAGACTTTAGGTTGATTTGCTTGAAATAATGACCTCTTCTAAACGTCAGCCGGTAACTCTCGCCAAAACCATTTTTGAAAAGCCCAAAAGGAAACTAATTATCCCCTTAGATAGAAAAACGTGTTTAGAATGCCCTGCACATGTAAGACGTTTGTTCACCTTTTGCTGCTCTTATCCAAAACAATTTTCATCGGGTTCTATTGACCTTGAATTGCTCAACATCTTGTTGAGTCCCGTCCAAGATATGTGATCTGCCTTTGCAACAAACTCCCAATAAAGGGAATACAGCAATGGAAAAATCCCCTTAGGGGGAATTAAGGGGCTGAAAAATCTGAACCAAATTGTGGAGCCACAACCGTAGCAAAGTAGAAAAAGTAGTAAAAGACTCCTCAAGCATCAGCATGGATCCTCTTTTCCTCAATAATAGCAGAAACATGCCGTGTGCTTCAGTATTCTTTATTGTTCAATACTGCGGTTCATAATCACCACTGTTGTCATTCCATGTTTTTATTGTGAGCAATCACTCAAGTGCCAAATAAACAGATCTTTCAGAATATAATGTCCCCATAATAGTGGGAAAGGAATTCGTATGCAAGGAGAAAAAAAAGAAACTAACGCTGTCCATCACATATGGTTTCTTCTACCAAAATGATCAGATTTTAAATTATTGTCAAAGGGTTACAAGCATACCCTTTTAATAAATAAGTGTATTTAATATAGAATTGATGTCTTATACAATATATTGAAATAAAATGCACATACATGAAAATAATAATAATAATAAAGTCCATAAGCGTTTGATAAACACAACAATGTTCATATAACTGCTGTAGGTTAGAAGGCACTTCCTTGGCAACACATCGATGCCTCTCCCATTTTTTGGACCTGAAAGGAAATAATAAAAAAAAAAATGTCAGAGAGTTCTTTGAAACGAAAAACACTGATACTTCTGAGAAAGTTGAGTTGTCAGCTTGAAAAGAGTTATTACCGATGCGCCATTACTGGCATTTCCTCCATGTTATGTCTAAGCTCATTCAAAAACGATGCAGATGACGAAATAATGAAACGCTTTTAAAGGCCCCGCTATCGCTATGTACAATTGTCCGATTTCTCAGAACGGCACAGACAGGATCTTATTATCTGATTCACTTAAAAAACGAAATACCATGAATGTGTCAGCCTCTTCACTCTTCATAATCACCAGCAGTCCAATACCACGAAGAACTCAAAAATGAAACTAAATGGACACTTGTGCAGATGAACTCTCTAATTGCGCTCGCTGAGAGCACATGCTGGATTCAGCACCGGGTGGAGGTGAACCCATCAGACCTGCTGTCATGGAGGATCGCCTTAACAAAGGGATGACTACGTCCACACCGTCACCGCGCTGACGGGAGTCTGCGTCCAGGCGCGGAGGCCTGGGTGTTTAGGTTTAGTGGGTGTTTAACGTCAGCCAAAGAGGCAGCGAGAAATCCACCCTCGTGTGTTCCTGACCATCTAGTAGTAAGTGTCTTACTTTTCCCTCAAGAGTGTTATTCATACTTCTTAAACATATGTGGCTTTAAAAAACAGAGGGAGTGTTACTGCGCCACGGAGAGAAAATATGAAATAGATTTTCCACGTCAGTTGATCAAAAGATGGCGTGATATTGTGAGTGTCACTAAAATTATACAAGTTAAGGTAATTGTAGTGGAAAAATCATTTCTACTGACAATCCAACTAGCATTTGCTCATATTAGCAATATGAAATATTCATAAATAAACTGTTTTATGAAGAGGTGTTGAAAGAAATAGTTATTGATTGTACACTTTGTCAGTCATCTTCATTTATATTTGACTATTTCTTTTAAATTGTTCAGATAAAACTGAATAAACCACCACATGAATCTATAATGATCTAAAACATACATAATAGTTTGTTCCAGCCCTCGATATTTGTTATGTTTTTTAGCCGACCATCACTAGTGCTGAATATATAAAGATACAAATAAATAACTGGACAGTGTTTCAAGAACAGCCGCAACAATATTTTATAATCTTAAAGCATACAAATATTGCAGACAGATGCACTGCATACATGTTTCTGATTATGAAGGTTTCAGCCTTCATTCATTCAAACACAAATCAAACACCAGAATTCCTCCACATCTCGCTGAAGTACATTTATATTAATACATATACATGTTTTATTTACTTCATTAACCATTTTAATTTGCCACAGGGATGTTGGCAACTGCACCCCACCCAAGAAGAGAAAAACAATTTTACTCACATGCAATATCTAGGATTGCATGCAGAGTGGACTCATTGCTAATCGTGTTAGCAATCTTGCACATCTTTTGTAATCTGAAATAAAAGAAAGCATGGAAAAAAAATACATGAATTTGTTATCATACCATTTTGTATTTGAAAAGGTCCACAAAATATTATGCGTTGTCTTGAGAATTTGATGCAAATAATGAAATAAAAAGCATTGTAATTTTCTTATAAACTGCTAAACAGGACAAAAAAGGCAAAACACTGTCAAAGTGTGAGCAAATCGTCATACTGATAGAAAAGATTTACAAGGCAAAACTAACGTCAGAGGTGGTGCAATGTTCCTTTAACAGAGCAGCTCTGCACTTTCAGTACTTTATCGCTCATATGTTCGAATATAATCATGACAAAGGAATCCCGATTGTATCCACCATGTTTCTAGCTTAAACGCCACGGCATCGCAGGGTCATTTTATGTGCTACATTATCGGGGGAATGTTCAACATTTTACAAAGAGATGCAATCTCTTCATAAATACATATATATATACCTTTCTACAAAATGTTTGGAAAAAGAGATTTCCTTACTTTCCATAAGGACTGTGTCAGTGTTTGAGGGGATCGACTGTGGCAAACAGCCCAGCAACTGTCATCAGACTTCTATTCAAATATTGCGAAATCCTGACACATTGTGGAAGTATGTGCTCTATGTGATCCTCAACGAGGCAGCCAAACGTTCACCAATAAAAAGAAGCACAGACTCCCACCTCGATTGGATTAATCCGACCAAGCATCTGAAACAGCAAGCTGAGAGAAACTTCTGGTTGAGAGGAGTCGTCTATGAGGGAATCACTATTCCTCACTTGAATTATTCCCTCAACAAGGAGCTTATGATCTCAATCACTAGTTTCAAGTCTTCTTTGGAACATCACCATGTTGATTTAGTCAATCGTGATGCTATTTAGAGTAACACAGGCTAGACGGCAGAGAATGTCTGCCTTGTGATGGACAGGTCCATGCCACGGTGTTGTCTGGTGTGTCCGTGTTGAGTCTTAGAACTTTAACCCTTTAACAGTGTGTTTTTGTTTTACTCCAGACCTTCCGGACGACGCAAACGCCGAACTCGCTGCTTCAAAACAGCGGCCTACAAAGCACTTGGACGACGTGATCTCATCTCACACAGTTTTTGTTGTCACACATTAACAGTGGAAGCTGGTTTCCTTTGAAGCACGACACTTGTGATGATGAGAGATGGCACTGCAGACGTTGAGTACATGATATGAAGAGAACGACGTGAGAGGAAAAGGCGTACGTACATGCTGGTCTTGAGCAATCCCTTGTGTTGTGATAAAGTCTATGAAAGTGTGTCCTGCACTCCGACGAGAACTTCACTGGTCCTGCTTAATAGAAAAGGTTTCATCAGGCAAAAGGACATATATTTCAATTTGTATTTTCTCTTGATCATCTTTGCAAGTACTGTAAATTTATTGCAAACACCAAATCCAAACAAAAACAGAATTGCTGCTTAGTTACTTTCTCGATTAGTATCGGTTAACAAACAGACATCTTTGGCACCAATAGACTTTATAGAATACATTTACTTGAGTGTTGTGGAGATGTAATTAAAAAAGCGTTTGATACCATAATTGAGTGAAAAATTGTTGTGTTGTGCAGAAGCTGAAGACATATTTGATCAAACTTTTATCAGCAGTTAACTATTCACTCATTAATGTGTAACTATTAATACCACTACCACTACCACAAAATAATGTTAATACGGAAGTATAAGGGCCTTAGTACCTATCAACTAGTGCTTATTACAAGTATTCAAAAGTGAACGGGATCAATGCATCACATATACTAAAGAGTCAAGGTTCAAGTGGACTTGGTGAGCAGACGCCTTGAGTCTTTACTCACAATCGCTTCTGAGAGTTTCTGCGGCAACATTTCAACTTCCAGATTTTCACGCCAATTATGAAGTCTGCTCACAGGTCGTGGGACCAATAATGGGCTTAACCTCACGCCGCCTTCAACTTAATTCTGTCGGCTTTAGACCATGTGCCGTTCCTCTACACTTAAGCCCGGCAACTGTCATCTGGCCCACGAGAGCGCCAGTGAGGCTAAAGTATAGGCCCACTCGATGCCGGCTTCTAGGAACCATTTTCTCCAAAGGGGGATAAATGTGATTTTCTTACCTGTGAAATGCTGAATGAATTTGCCTTTCATGTTTAGATCCCTAGGAACAACTTCTGGAAAATAAAAATCCTGGTTAGTTGTCGCTCAACAGTTAATGTTACAACGAACGAGAGATTGACCAAAGTTACACAGTAGTCATGACGATTAGGATTGTTTCTGTCAACGCCGTTGCCCTCCAGCATGCATTATTGGAATGAAGAGAACGTATGATCACTGCTTTAAAGTGTGCATTTGGGAATTGACATTTTTCTACAGCCCTTACTGCATCTTATAAAAAACAATTTCTACATGAGCGACATAAATAATTATGAATGATATTCATCGGCATAGCGGCACATCTGCATGTATGTGATGTCGTGTACATGAGTCTGTACTGCAGTAGTGGTATTTCATAAGCCTGGGTGGAGTCACAACACTAAGTTCTCGCCCTTTTCTACTGAATGTCCATGCAGGCAGCACACGGAGGTGTCTAATAACAAACTGGCACCATTAACCGGCTAAAGAGATTAATGTATGGGAGTTTAATGCTTATCAGATTGAGTCCATGCAAGTATAGTTATCGGGCTACATTAGGCCCAAGACCCAAGATCACTGAATGCTGTCACTGCAGGAAGCTAAAAGAAAACAATTTAGCTCATTTAAAAGCATAGGAAGTCATTTTTAAATACAGTTGAATTTAAGATAATACCAAAAACCACTATAAATATTCTAGAAAGAGTTATGGAAGATCACGCCGTGCCATCGAGGAAAAAATCCAGATGTGAAGAGTGAAAGGCGAAAGCTTATTTATTGATATAGGAGATCAGAAATCTGGGGGTTATTATGGATTCAGATTTACACTTGGAGAGTCACATCAAATCAGTAACAAAATCGGCCTACTACCACCTCAAAAATGTAGCACGACTTAGAGGGCTCATGTCAGCTCAAGACTTAGAAACACTTGTACATGCCTTTATAACCAGTAGGCTAGACTATTGTAATGGTCTCCTTGCAGGTCTCCCAAAAAAAACTGTCAGGCAGCTCCAGCTTGTTCAGAACGCTGCTGCTAGAGTTCTAACAAAGACCAAAAAATGTGAGCACATTACACCAATTCTTAAATCCTTGCATTGGCTCCCAGTATGTCAGAGAATTAATTTCAAAATCCTACTGCTCACATATAAATCACTACATGGTTTAGGGCCAAAGTATATCACTGATATGCTTCCACTACATAAGCCTTCAAGATCACTAAGATCTTCTGACACCAATCTGTTAGTGATTCCCAGAGTAAATACAAATCATGGGAAAGCATCATTTAGTTACTACTCAACAAACAGCTGGAATAAACTTCCTGAAGATTTAAGACTTGCCCCAACTCTGACCACGTTTAAAACAAGACTGAAAACTTTTATGTTCAGCTTCGCCTTCTGCTACATTTTACCTACATTGCACTTTTAACCTCTGCCTTTAATTAAACAATTTAAATGAGATTTTAATTTATAATTTTATTTGCTGTTTTTAATTGTCTTTTAATTCCTGCATTTTATTCCACTTTATTGTATGAAATGTTATGATGTGAAGCACTTTGAGTCTGCCTTGTGTATGAAAAGCGCTATACAAATAAAATTGCCTTGCCTTGCCTAGAAACTTTAACGGTTTTATAATAAACACGTTCCCCTTAATGGATGTTTCTCTTTCCTCATTGTGTTGAAAACATCCATCCTTGGATCTTTTGCTAGTGTGCCACGCACCATTTGCTAATATGCTGCTTTTAATAACCTCAAAGATAAATTCCATCCAGTCAGTGGTCTGACAAAGATACTTTTCCAATTGCATAAGCTGGGGAAAACTCTTTGAGCTTTACGATGCCTGTGGAACATTAGTATAAAATGATCAAACTGACAGTGATGGAAAGGATAATCTGACTTGCAGATAAGAATCCCTATAAATTCCCCCTGTTCTTTGTAGACTCACTCCCATTGCACATACCACTGAGGCGCAATCCTACACCCAAAACCTAGCAATGATCTCAGATACTGATCTCAGATTACTGAAATGAGTGAGTGGCTTTGGTACATAAAAACTACATTAATGTTACTCAACGACAGACAGTCCTGTGTCTTTGCTCTGATGGATGCTCTCGCTTGGAGATGCTCTCGATAAGAGATGCTCTCGCTTGGAGATGCTCTCGCTTGGAGATGCTCTCGCTTGGAGATGGTATCGATTGGAGATGCTCTCGCTTGGAGATGCTCTCGCTTGGAGATGGTATTGATTGGAGATGCTCTCGCTTGGAGATGTTTTCGGTTGGAGATGTTCTCACTTGGAGATGCTCTCGATGGGAGATGATCTCAATTGGAGATGCTCTCGCTTGGAGATGCTCTCGATTGGAGATGCTCTCGCTTGGAGATGTTTTCGGTTGGAGATGTTCTCACTTGGAGATGCTCTCGATGGGAGATGCTCTCGATTGGAGATGCTCTCGCTTGGAGATGCTCTCGATTGGAGATGCTTTTGATTGGAGATGCTCTCGCTTGGAGATGCTCTTGCTTGGAGAAGTTATCTCGATGGTAGATGCTTTTGATTGGAGATGCTCTCGAATGGAGAAGTTATCTCGATGGTAGATGCTTTTGATTGGAGATGCTCTCGAATGGAGAAGTTATCTCGATGGTAGATGCTTTTGATTGGAGATGCTCTCGAATGGAGAAGTTATCTCGATGGGAGATGCTTTTGATTGGAGATGCTCTCGCTTGGAGATGCTCTCAAAAGGAGAAGTTATCTCGAGGGGAGATGCTTTCGATTGGAGATGCTCTCGAATGGAGAAGTTATCTCGATGGGAGATGCTTTTGATCGGAGATTCTTTCTGAGACGTCACAGAGCACTGGCGTGCGTGCAAAGCGGTCATCATTCATGTTTAAGATTCCACAATGAATCACCCTGAATAAATCATTCACAATTTTGGCACATGCTCCACCCACATGAGTTCCTCCCACCTATCATGTCTCCGTTCAGTGATCAATCGCAGACACGGAAAGGTGTCTCTAAGAACGCCATGGTAAATATATTAAAGTCTTTGAATATATCCCTAAACATATGAAGTATACCTTCATTACATTCGTTACATAACTACCTCACACTGAGTTGGACAAAAACGGACAGTGAGATCCGGACGCTGTAAATGTCTTTGAAGGATATTCCTGATAAATACTTGCATACGGTGGAGTTCCGTAGTTCCAAACGGCTTCTAAATAAGATGCACAGACAGACCGATAATGACAGCTGTCTCCAACAGTAAAATGGGGATTATGCTTTCATCAGGGCCTAAAAATAAATCTTATCAGCTTACCTATGAGTCTACTGTTATCCAGCCTAGGAACATAGAAAGGCTTTTCGCGGGAGGAGAACATGTCTTGGGCTGAGGTGAAGAGTCCACTGCTGCAGCGCCTGGACATGGGTTTGTCCCGTTGCTGGTTGTCTCTGATAACCTGTAAGATTAGATCCAACAGGGTCCTTCTTTCTCTCTGCTTGACGTCCTTGCTGTCCATACACTGGCCCGAGGTGATGAGCAGAAAGGACATTGTCAACAGAATGTGCCATTTCCTCTCCACGTGCATGACTTCTCGTCTGAAAACACACAAGTAAATCGTTACTTTGTTTCACAACAATGAAATAGATGTACAGAATTGACCCACAGTGGCTTGCCTTTTCAGATATTTGACATTACCTAAAGTTAATATAAAAATAATGATTTCAGAGGTAACACGGCATCTAAACGTGGAATCAATCTCCAGAATGCACTTCACAGCAATCATTGCGTCTACTGTAACACATGGATGAAACAAATACATTCTAACTTTGTACTTACTTTGGGAGTTAAATCGGGTATATGTCCTGGAGAGGCGGCACAAGGCGTTTGGGTCCGGATAGAAGAGAGAGAGAGAGAGAGAGAGTACAGCCGGCAGATTGTGCTCACCACCGTCTTTCTTGAAATAATGCGTCCCTATTTATACGAGGAGCCAACTTCTCACAATCGATTTCGTGTGGGTGGTTAAGCAATGTTGACATCTTTGGTGCAATTTCCTCCAGGGAAATTCGCTCACTTTGCTGTGCGCCCCTCCTTTACGCACCAAAACATCCCCGGTGGTAGACGTACGGGTCAATTCAGCTGCAAATAAAAGCATATACTTTACGAGAAAAGTGACGTTAATCATCTACAAAAAGAGAACCACACTGAAATTTACCTTGAAAAAAATGAAAATAGATAAAATAAATAAATACCGTGGCGCGGCAGCGCGCATGAAAGTAGTTTTCTAAATGGACGAACTTGTTGGACGTCGGCTGCGGAGAAGAGAGCAATCTGTGGGCCAGTGAGCTTCTGAATAACCTGTCGGCGTGCCGATGTTTTTGCTCAACGATGTCCTGGTCTTGTGACCGACTAAGCGCTGCAGAGAATGCGCCTCCACGAGCGGCCATCCGGCCGGTTCCCACCCCTACTGGGTGGAACTCTATCATTGTGATAGAGCTTTTAAAAAAGAAATGCGGGTATGAAGAAAGCTTTTGGACTGTGTCTGAATTCCTGATTCATATGTCTCAATTAAAAGACCAAATAAAAGACCAATAAAAAAAAAAGTTAAATGTAGCCAAAATTAGGATGCGATGTTGTTTCCAGATGAGCTCATATTTTCACGTTTGATTTATTGTCGGAATGGTTTAGGCTGAAGCGTATTTAATTTATTACTGCTGAGAGGAAGTCTAGGTAATGGCAGCTGGACTCCGCATGCACTCTATAAGCTTATACGAAAAACTCCTCTTCACTGAGTTGTCTGTAAATCAATGTTCCCTGGTGGTGTCTCATTTGTTCACAGAAGCTATTGGCCGAATATTACAAAACGGTGATTTCTGTGGATAAGATAAGTGGGAGTATATCCAAATGTTGAATTATCATTTATATTGCTTCCGTATAAAGCACACATTTAAAGTTTCCCCTTCAATCCTCATCCGATACAGGATCGTTCCTCCAATAGATTAAACATAAACATTTCAGGAATGACTAACAGGCAGAGATATCATGAGAGAAAGCAGTGCTTGACTCAAAAATGTCGACATTGAGCAATTGAGTGCCTTTGAAAAAAACCAAATAGCCGTAAATCAGCTGGCGGATGAGCCAACTTGTTGAGCAAATTCCGAAAGCTATTCCGATTATTGAGTTGAAAAAGTGCCAATTGTCAGCTTTATACGACTGCCATCGTGTGGCAGCATATGGAATCACCATTTAAGTGATGTTCAAATACTCAGGGGGCATTTACACATTTCAAATTAAAAGTATATATATATGGATTAATGCAAATAGGTTAAATGATTTATAGATACCTCTCTCTCTCTCTGATCACATTAATTTGACATATATGGATGGTCTTTACTTTAAATGGTCTTTACTTTAAGTTTACTCTCTTTTCATATTCTACAAAAAACATAAAATAAATTTACTCCACATATAAAAAAACTGATGCCATTATTCAAAGAATGTAATCTTCGGGAATGATTATCTGGCGTACAGGCTATTGACTTTGGACTAAATAAACCCTCTGAAAATAATCTGCCCCGCTTCTGTTTCATTCCTCGTGTTTTTTTGTCACCTCTCCTTTTGTTTTCAGATCACTTCTCTCTCTCGGTCCGTGCGTGTCCGCACTTTCCCCCCAGCTTTGATGATCTTTATTACTTGCAGTCCCCTGACCTCCCAGCTCCCCCACACTCACATCCCAAACAGCTATACCTGCATATAGAGATCTTTTTTTTCTCGGACTGCCTCTTTTGTGTAGACCTCTGTTACCTGTTTTCACCTTGCCTGATGTTTCCTGCCTATCAGTTAGCAGGGAAGGATTCAGACGCAGATGAAGGATCAATCAAATATAACAGAACACATGAATAAAAGACACTTAATAGTTATGTAATACAACCAGAGGCACTGAGGACTGACAATAGTTATATAGTGTTCTAAGTGTAAAAAAAGATCAGTTGTTTTTGTTTTGTTTAAAAACCACCTGTAAAACCCTTCTCATATCCTTCCCATTATTGTTATATTGTAAATTATTGTACAAAAATGATCATATGGAACTGCAAAACAAACTGGCAGGTTTTGGAAATGGATCTTAATGATTTTATATGAATTATGAATATGTGGTCTTTTCAAACCATTGGTAGAATCTGGCTGCATTTTTACCTTTAAAGAAATTCTCAACAACGCTTGTTGGCCCCTCAGCGCCCCTTTTCACTGGTGCCCACTGGACAATGATTTCTCAAGTAACATTTTCCCAAATCCGGAATATATACATTTTATATCCTTTGCAATGCAGCAGGAACGCCACTTGCCTTTCTTTAGCCCCGCTGTATGTTTTTTAACGAAGAAACGAGGTTACTCTCCCCCTTCTCAGACTAGCAGATCTGTGCATAGTGATGGCGGTTACCATGGAGACGGACCAAGCACAAACATTTCACAGTTCGATCCGCGGTCCCTGACTTTGGTTAAACTCTGCGAGTCGTGTGGTTATTTGGATAAGAAACGGAGTCATGTCGCAAAGGTAAGGCTTCGTTACTAGTTTCAGTTTCACTTTTATCTTCTCGGGTTAAACCGAAGATAACGTGCGTTAGCTGCTTTCAGTTAGCATCGTTTAACGCGACGGGAGGTTAGTTAAGGAAAGTTGCACCGTGTGCAAAAAAAGGTTCACTGTTACCGTGCATATCTTCCACCATGGCTTCTTTTTCTCCTGGTGTGTTTTTCCCAGTAATAACGTAATTAAGGCACGAAGTCACTCTGAGGTGCGTCGGCTGATCATGTTGTTTGTTCTATTTGCAGGACATACAACCAGCTGTGGGCAGAAGCTCAGTTGGAGTTGAGCCGCCTGCTGGCTGAAGAACTGTCCGATGAGCCGCGCCACCCAGAGAAGGACCGGGTGGTGTTCTTCCAGCGGCTGGCCATGCTTTACGTCAGATACATCCAAATCTACAGGCAGCTGGAGGAGGTCTACGACCAGGTGGTCCACCCTCAGAAGAGGAGAGTTATTCGGGGAATTCTTGAAGGCGTGATGGGGAGGGTGCTAGAGCTGAAGAATGAAATGGTGGAGAAAGAGTTTTCAGAGTACCACTACATGGACGACGTCCTACACGATTTGAAGCTTACACCCGTGAGTGTTTCGCGGCCAGTTTGGTGAAATTGGATTGCTGAAATGACACCAGCAAAATGATATTGACTTTTTCACAGCAGGTATTGACTTCACCTGGAATGACCCCTCAATAATGATGTTACTCAGCAGCTATCACTTTCTTTGTCGTCGCTCCAGAAAGAACTTGAGATCCCCGTCCCTCGCTTTTTCATCAGCGAACGTAGCGTAGAACAACAAGGACAAAAGAAGATGCTGACAGAAATCTTCAAAACGGTGGAGGTCACTGAAAGCCCCGAAGTGAGTTGAAAAGAAGCTGCATCTAAAAGTTAGTGTCTGTTCATTCTTTGCTTTTTTGTTACATACAGAAATCGTCAAGAAAAAAAGGTTAAAAGTTCGACATGAGCAGAGAAATGAGGAAAACGATTGTTTTAATTTGTTAGTTGTTGTATGATTTTTTTTTGTCCCTACAGCCTCTAACAACCAAGGACATGAGTCAAGAGGAGGCCATTAAGATCATTCAATTGGTAGAGAGGGCTCGTCAAGGACGCCTGAGGGCCAAGTTGAATAGTGAAAGCAGAAGGATGAACAGGATGCAAAGGATCAAGGACCCCGGAGCAGCTGCTATGGAGTTGGCTGCAGTTTCCATTCAGAAGGTCCTCTTTTACCAACCTTAACCTACTTACTTCCTTCTCCTGTGGCTGGTTTCATCCTTCTAGCTGAATGTGAATTGCAGGTGTGGAAGGGCTACAGAGAGAGGAAGAAGGCCAAGATTGCTTGGGAAGAAGAGATGATCTTTCTGGGAATGGTGAGGGAAATTTGACTAGTAGTCTCCTACTGTTAAAACAGATCCCCACCATCAACCCTCCTTTTTTTCCGGCCAAAAGTGGCAAATATATCACAAACTGTAAATAAAAGTTGTATTCCACTTCAGTATGAAATAACATAGCACTTGATTTTTGTTTTTAATACATGTATGTTGGGTCTCTTTAACGCCATAGGCCATGGATCCAAAACGGCGGGTTCCGGGTCCCGCTGTAATCGCTGCCCGGGCGAGTGAAGCTGTCACACGGATCAAACTGGAGGAGTACAACGCAGATTATCAGAAGTCCTCAGTGGCCGTCACAAACCAACTGCGAGATGTAGAGGGTCATGACATGAGAAAGGCAATGAAAGACCAAATCCGACAGTGGTTCATTGAATGCCGGTCAGGTTTCCCAGAGAGACTTTTGTTATTTGAAAGCATTTCCGCATGGAATGAATCAAAGAGCTGTATTTTCAATGTCTTCCTCTTTTGTTTGAATTTTATTTTTAAAAGTGATGCCAAGGGATCGTTTCCAGACTACCCAGATGAAGAGGGCGGAGGCTCAGCCCTCATTTTTGCTGAAAAGAATCCTATACAGGTAAAATACACTGTCAAAAAGTCAAAAGAAAACTAGGTTGTTGATAGAGAAGTTGAGATGTTTGTTTTTCAGATGTTGGAAGAAATTGCTGCAAAGGAAGTGGAGGATGCCAAGAAACCAAAAGAAAAGGACGGGAAGAAGGAAAAGGGGAAAAAGGACAAAAAGAAGGAAATCGAGGAAGTAAGTTACATCGAATTGTTTTTTATTGGTTGAAATAATATACAGCAAATTCTGGAATTTCTCTTATTCAAACCAATCCATGTCAGCTTTTTAACACAAAGAAATGTTCTGAACCTCAGGAAGAAGAAGCAGGATTGAAGATGCTTCCTTCAGCGTTTCTGTCTGACTTGGAAGTGGAAAACAAAACATTCGATGGTATGTTTTACATTAAAAAAACTCAATAATATTTTAATAATATTATTATAGTTTAGCCCCTCAACTAAATACAAGAGAACATTTGCAACATGACATCTTCAGTCATTTTTTAGAGTGTGTTGTTTGGATGCTAAACTAAAACATAACTTCAAGGCTTTCTTGTATTTTGACAATCACCAGTTTTTAGTATCTGGCTGCTCATCCTGTCAGTAGGTCCAAATGTCCAAACCACCTCTATCGCTGAATGAATGTGTGCACGTGTGTTTAATAAGAGCCAAATTGTAAAGCACTTGTTCCGTAGAGGGAAGCTGTATAAAGCCAGTCTGTGGGACTGTATCTCTTACTCATGAACGTTCTTCATCTTTAGATTTTTGGAAAACGCGCAATGAATCCAGAAACTTTAACCAGAGGCACGAGGTGGAGCTGATAAAGGAAGAAAAGAGGAAAGACATCGAGGCAGAGATTCGAGTACAGGTAATGCCGACTTTAGAGGAAAACATTTTAATTTGATTTTAATAGTTTAGGAATGAAACTAACAGGAAATCAAGGCTGTAGTTTTAAAAATTCAGTGTCCAGGTCACTGGCGTGAAAACAGCCCCACATGTGGTTGATGCAGCGCTTCTCGGTACGCTCTGCCTCCTTCAGGTAGATGAGCAGATGAGACAAGAGTTGGCTGAATGGAAACTAGCTGTGGATAAAGACAAAGGTGGTAAAACCAAAGGAAATGCCAAGGTAATGAGTGACAGATAAATCTACGCATTGTCTGGGAGGTCTGGTCATATGATTTTGTTGAGACGTGTCCTGATGATATAGATTTTTCTCCACAGAAAAAGAAAGGATCTAAGAGTGGGAAGAAGAAAAAAAAGGAGAAAGATTTGACAGCTGATAGGTGAGGTCACACAGATGATGTACTTCATTTCAGAATTTGTTCATATGAAGTGAGGATTACATTTGCTGAGGAAAACAATTACATCATTTATTCACGTCTGCTAGGACTCTTGAGTCTTTGTGTCAGGAACTGGTGGAGCAGGGCTTGTTGAAACAAGCAAATAACGTGAGGCTGCAGGAATACTTGGGTAAGATTTTGTATATTGTTTGTATGAACCAGCGTGCCCTCTTTCAGATTTCTCTTTCCGTCCTCAGAATCACGATTGTATATGATATTTAAATCTTATGGCAAACAGTCTGTAGACAAAGTGCAGAATTCATACAAGTGTGTAACAGCCCAGATTACTGAAAACTGTATACGAATGATGTATGACCACGATGAACACACTTTAAAACCTTTCCCAATGCATTGCCCTGCTGATTCATTAACTATTGGACTAATAGCTGTTGCCTCTTGCTGCTAGGCGACTACAACTACCTTGGGACCACACTGAGGCAAAATGACATCGAGCCCATGCCGTCACTGTCGGATGTGCGGCAGGTCTTATCACTATATGCCATCTTACCGTTAGGTATGAAAGTCATCTAATCGACATGTGAAATAGATGTCGCTGAGAGTGACGTTTGTGGACTGAATAGGAGATTTGTGTTCTCGCAGGCTCTCGGGCGGTACATGAGAAGGCGACTCTGATAAAGGCCATCCTACTGGCAGGGCCAGCAGGTGTAGGCAAGAAGATGTTGGTCCACGCAATCTGCCAGGAGACGGGCGCCAACCTGTTTGACCTGTCGCCTCTGAACACGGCAGGAAAGTACCCAGGCAAGAGTGGCCTCGCCATGATGCTCCACATGGTGTTTAAGGTAGAACTGTGGCATTTAAAATAAAATGCATGAGAGAAGAATTACCATTGAAGTTCATAATGATGGTGGTTAAGTTCTTTTAACGACTGCGATTAAACCGCATGATTTATTTTTTATATTTGTAATTTGCATAGGTTGCAAGATTACTTCAACCGTCAGTAATATGGATTGAAGACACTGAAAAAATGTTCTACAAGAAAGTTCCCAAAGAAGAAAAAGAGGTATTTCTGGGCAGAATTAAAGCTTGTGTTTTAAATGTAGCAGTTGTTTTTATTTGAAACTTTTTCTGCATTTGCACAGTTAGATCCCAAACGGCTGAAGAAAGACTTACCCAAGTTTCTCAAGTTAATCAAAGGGGAGGATCGTGTTCTGATAGTGGGAACAACCAAAGACCCAATAAGTGCTGATATCAAGTCACTGTGCAAAATGTACAGCAAAATCCTCCTCATCCCAAGACCCGACTACGGCTCAAGACGCAGTAAGAAACAGACACCATGAAGAAAAAGTTGAGTCACTTTTGGTTGTTGGCGTGAACATTTAATTTGACTCTATTGACTCTATTCAGTCTTGTGGAGGCAGCTGATCAGAAAGCAGGGAGGTGATGTGACAAGAGCGCTGGACCTCAGCTCTCTCGCCAAGATTTCTGATGGCTACACACCAGGTCACATGGTCCAGGTGATCAAGAGCATCGTCACCAAGCGCCGCATCCTACAGCAAGCGAGAAGACCACTGACCGCAGCTGAGTTCGTTGCTCCACTGGCGAAGATTGACCCTGTGTTTCAGGAAGAAGAAGAGGCCCTTAAAGTATAGTAGATATATTATATTTTATTTTTGTTTTATTGCATTTTTAAGATTGTATCTGCTTTGCTGCATATGCATTTTCATTTTGTGTCTCTTTCTTTTGTATCATCAGAACTGGTACGCAAAGACCCCGCTGGGAAAGAAGAGGATTAAAGCTGCAACGGGCAAGGAAGAAGGAAAGCCGCCAGTTAAAAGCAAAAGTAAAATGAAGAAATAAGTTAATCATCATCAGTTTATATCACAGGTAGTCATATTGTTTATTGAAGCTTGTATGTCAATTGCCATTTGAAACCTGTCCGATTTCCTCCCTATAAGATAAATACGTTTAAAAGCAGTCAATTTGTGTTTGTTGTGTGTTTTTAACTGGTAGTGTCGTTCCATCAACAGACTTGTTACACTACTGTACAAATCTACTTGAGCCTGTTACTTGGTTAACAGAGACAAAATGCCGCAGTTTCACATAGAACTTTGTGCATTCTATAAGGAAGAGTGCTAATCCGATTAGTCACTCTATTTCTGTGGCCACTTGGACATTCCTTGGAGTTCATCCTTGATTTGAGTTGAATCATTTACCTCAATAACATCACCCATCATATGCAGCCAAACAAACTACAAGCTATTTGAATATGAACCAAAATACATTCTGCCGGGCTGCTGTGACTGTGGTAGTCAAGGCCACTCTGCAGTTAGACATACCAAGACTGTCAAGGGCATCTGATGTCTTCCTGCTCTATGGATACCTGGCTATATTCCACATGGTTATTTAGTTAGATACAACACGTCATTTGGAATGTGACTCACAGAAATAATACAGAACTAACATCACGGTATTAGACACAACATGTGATTTGTGATCAAATGTGTGGTTTGAAGAGTTCTGTATCCGCTGTCAGGTGTACAGAGTCTGAAGCAGAGGAAATGTGACACACTGGGAGGAGGGAGGGGGTTTCAAACTGGGCTGCAGAGGCTTAGGTGGAGTGATCAGCTGTTTTGTCAAGTTCTAAATCCACTCAACACATCCTCACATTGCCTTGGTCCCTTTAACGTCACTATTTTTAGGTGCAGCATCACTTGGATGCTGCACATGAGAAGGCCCATATTTTACAACATCAACGATCCTTATTGGCCATTTTCATTATGACACAATGTGGGGCCCGGATCGGTTTGACGCCCTGATAGAAAATAGCATTGAAAGCCTTGAAATGGCCCGATGAGTAATCCAAAAACAGTTTTGTTGGGGATTCATAACCCAAAAGTCTTCAAATATACTCTTTATTTCCATTCAAATGATGTTGATTCATTTTAAAAGCTTTGTAATGAATGGCCTCGTGGAGATCTGTAAAATGGGCGTCCGTTACCCTCTGAGCGACAACAAGCATCAAGAGATTATCCTGTCGAGTTTCACCGGAGTTCCTCCATGGCACATGGAGCTGTCTATCAGAGAGAGGCGGGCGCCACGCTCTGCAGTGCTCGTTTTGTTTTGTCTAAAGTCTAAATGAGGGAATTCAAACCTTGTTGTTTTATTGCACAACCCCCTCAGCCCGACACATGCTGGAGACGAAGGAGGCATTAATATCAGCATTGTATGGCTTCTGTGTCACTTTTAATGTTGTGTATTTTTAGTGTCCAGAGCTCTGCAATCGTGGTTTGCAAATCGCTTACTCTGATGTCAGCTAATAATCTAAAAAAGGACGCGCGTGTTTTCATGTATCTTGTTCAGTCTTTTGTGACCTTTTAACTGCTGCAGTGGTGGATACCCCCCGGTGGGGATCCATGGACTAACCTGAGGGTTAATACACTGAACGAGACGTGTCAGTATCGTGGAGGAGGAGCATGCGATTCATCTTTTATCGTTTAGGTGGAAGAGAGATCTAAGTTAAGCAACCTGGTAGTGTGCTTGATTGTATGGAAAACAATAGACAGTCTCATCATGTCGACGCCCACTGGCCTCCTGATGCTACATCGAAGGTCACTTCTGCACTGAGAAGCTTACAAGTCATTTGAACTAAGCTCGTCTCCCAATCACTCACACACACGAGAAAACCATCAAGCGCACTAAGCCTGTTGTATACATTCTGTTTTTCGATAGTTCCATTGATGCGGGACGTCAGTTGCCTCACACGATTAAAGCCGGGGCTATCTTTGCCCTCACACTGACAGAAGGCTATTTTGGAAGTCAGTATGTGGGGAGAGATATGTCAGCTGTTCAGCACCAAGCTCCATCAAAGCGAGAAAAAAAGGGAAAGCGCTGCAGGCCGTCCGCTTTGGGGAGAGGGGAGCGGTTTCTTCTCTCCTTTGGCCAAACGTTTGTTGTTGATCTTAAAGGCTTTTGTGATAAACAAAGACGAGACTCGGACAGATCCAAGTTTTTATTCTTGATTTTCAGGTGAAGGTTTGTAGTTTTTTTGTCATCAGTGCAACCAACGGATTTATTCTCTCTAAAGCCAAAGTTCAAGTTTGAGGTGGGTTTATTGTTGCAGGTGACTCTCCATTGTTTTAAGTTTGATCAGCTCATTTTTAATTTAAATTGTCTCTACAACGGTCAGTAGATTCCGTATCATTGTGTGAGATGTCATTTTAACGGTTTTAATGACCCTCCTCTTGGAATAAGAAAACCATGTAATGATGGGAGGCAGCGGCAGAAAACTGTGTCAAGATCTTAAATATCGTATTTATCAATTTCCGTTGTTTTTCAAAACTTTCCCTTCTTCTCAGTTCACTGCATGCAGGCAGATCACAGCTGAATCTATATTTGTGGGGCTGAGCTCAGACAAGTGAGAGAGCAGAAATCCCTGTGCTCATCTTAACTGAATACTGGCATGCCAACGCACCCGGAATCAACCATATGACAGTGACGCCATGTGTATCCATGGTCGTTTTGAAGTTATAATTAAAGCAATTATGAGCCTGAATGGAATTTCTTTGGTGTGTATAATTGTCCAACTACCTGAAAGAAAGTGAATGTCAGCAGATGTAATTGAGGTGTGAATGACATGGTTCTTTTTAAGGCACATTGAGTTCCTTTGTAACAATTAAACCAGCTCTTTATTTTCTTCTGAGGCAGACCGTTACCTAATATATATATACATACTTTTGTCATCACCATTATAGTTGTAGCCCTTCCGTGACAACTTTGGTGAAAAGCGAACACGATTGCCGAAGAGCAGCATGGGTGACAACATACCTGGAGGAATAGTAGCTGCTGCAAGTAGGTTTTTTTTCTTCGCACACATTAGTTTCGCCGTAGTAGCAAGAAAGCTTTAATTCTCTAATGCCGCGTGTGTGTTTTTCTGCCAGAGAACCGTCTGCAGGTGGTGAAGGGCTTGGAGGACGTGGAGGTGTGTGAGTGTGAGAGCTGCTCCTTTGAAGTGACCCTCAACTTGGCCTACATCGAGGGTCTGTGGACCAGAGATGGGTCGCCGCTTAAGTCCAAGCCCACATGTCGCATCAGCACGCATGGAAAGAAACACTCCCTCCTTCTGAACAGGGTGGCTTTGGGAGACGCAGGACTGTTCTCTTTTCAGGCCAATGGTGTTCAGACCTCGGGCCGACTCATTGTTACAGGTAGGGTGGTGAAGTAGACTAGCAATTGAAATGTCAGGTCAGATCCAAGAGTCAAAGTGTCAAAGCCAAGAGTGGATCATTCATAAGATCTGAAAATACATATGATCGGACGTCATTCCAATATAACTGCTCAGTGGTCTTGATACATCAGATAAAGGCCTAATGTACAGAATTAGGAATGAGTGGATAAGAAAAACTAGGAGGTAATTTGGCAGAAGGAGAGAAGCCTCTTAGTTGCAATCAATCCAAATCATTGGTTTAACTAATGACCTTCTCATCAGCATTAGTTGTATTTTGTGTTTAGTGCTAATTAACGAATTGTACCATGTTGCTCGGCTAAAATAGGACGGTGAACACAGTAATATTTCATGTTAATGTATATATTATGTTTCAATTCAGCAACTTTTAAAAATGCTATTACTATTCACAATAGTTTCTATCTTGTTTTTACTTATCTGTGTGCTCTTCACCCTCTTTGCCGCTGTCGTCCTGTACATTTTCCTGCTGCAGGACTATTAATGAATTGTGTTACCTTATAATATCTCAAACATTATATTTGCTACAACGTATTATGAATATGTTAGCATGTGAGCGTTTGACTTAAAGCACTGCTGTGACTACAAATTGTCCCAGGGCCACTAACATAGTTGTCGACACTTTGAGATGGTTATCACTTCTAATTATTTTTGAGCCTCCTCCAATCACCAAATGAGTCATTGCTAACTTACTTAAAAGCAGGTTTGATGAAGTTCTGTTTTGTTGCTTTAACATCATTTAGTCACAGTCTGGTTCCCCCAGCTAGGGACATCTACATAGCGAAAGAACTGGAAGATGTTGACACCATGGAGCGTCAACCTGTGAACTTTCTGTGTGAGGTCAACCTGCCGGATTTGGAGGGTCGGTGGTACAGAGATGACAGCCGAATTCGACCTGGAGACAATATCAAGATCAGACAACAGGGTGAGAGAACAACCAAATAGGCCCTGGGCTATTTTGCTAAGAAGCTGTGTGTCTAAATGACCATATTGATTGTTCCTCTGCGTAAATATATACAAAAGAATGAAATATATCACCTGGTTATGCACAATTCATTTTAACAGGCCATTTTGCTTTGATCTTTTTGCAGGTAAAACTCACACCTTGTTCTTCAGGTCAGTCAGGCCTGAGCATGCTGGAGAGATCAGATTCACTGCAGAGCGTGTCTCATCCTACGCGACTCTCACAGTGAAAGGTGAGCAACCAAGCACGATTCAACATGGGTTTATAAAAAAAACTAAATTTGGAGATTTACAGCCTGCGCCTCCCTTCTTCAGAGCTCCCAGTCCAAATATTGCGTCCTCTAAGGGTGAAAATTGCTATGTATCGCCACCGGGGTCTGCTGGAGTGCCAGGTGTCACGGCCTAATGCTCAGGTCAGGTGGTACAAGAACAGGAAAGAGCTCCAGCCCTCTAAGAAGTACCAACTCATCAGCCAAGATGTCTACAGGCAGCTGACTATCGATGACATCTGCTCCTCAGATGAGGACACGTACACCTGTGATGCAGGAGATGACAATACCTCTTGTCAGCTTCTGGTGGAGGGTGAGATGTGATTATGCGCATGTGTTTCTCATGTGCCAACTATGCAATCCATAGTGTTTTTCTGTTCTGTTACGAGTCAATAGTTGGGTTCAGTACTCGTTAATGTGTATCGTGGCTGTACATGCAGAGCAGGCTATCAGAATAGTGCGAGGGATGAGCTCAGTGGTGGTGATGGAGCCGGAGCCGGCGCTGTTCCAGGTGGAGACCAGCCTGAAATCGGGGAGGCCTCCCCGGTGGAGCCTGAACGGTGAGGTGCTGGAGCCTTGTGCAGCAGTGAACATCAACAGGGAGGGAAACCTCCACAGCCTCTGCCTCACCACCACAGACAGCTCAATGTCTGGGCCCATGGTCTTTGTTGCTGGCAAGAGTCGCTCCACTGCTCAGCTTACTGTCACGGGTGAGTAGGATAAAGCTTTGAAATAGAATTTGATTTTTCGTAATTTTAGGATTATTGTAATATTATAACTGCACAGTAACAATGTAAAAGTCATTGAGACGCACACTCAATGTGCTGGGGGCTGTGTTCTTTACTGTTGCATGTCTCTACTTTGATTCCACTTACTGCTTTTGAACTAAATAATCGCACATTTTGAAATTCATTAATTGTGTAAAAAGTAAAAGTAATGAGTAATCCCTTTAGAAAGCATGTATTTTAGACACGGTTGTTTAACGTTAATTATTGTTTTAAACACGAAACCACACAACTAGCGACCCTCCTGCTGTCCACGTGCACTTTAATCTCAACTCGGCTGTATTTGAAGAGCAAACAAACCCCCGACATTTAGCCACGACCTTCTCCAAAGGCAAACTCCTTTTGGGGACACAGTGGCTGTCCTCTTCAGGCCGTGTGCCGCGCGAGGTTGATGCTGAGATGGAAGTAGCCTAGCAGCTAGCTTAGACTAGCAGTTGGCTTAGACTAGCAGTTGGCTTGGCCTAGCGGTTTGTTTTCTGCTCATCCCCCTTCTGTTTGACACGTGGAGGAATTCCTCTGCACAGGTCTCCATGTTGCGCCTCTGTTTTTTTTACTTGCAATGCAAAGATCTCTCTCCGCCTTCAACTACCGCCTCGCTTTCTCTGATCTAACTGACTGCAGCTAGCGGCGGTTTCATTTCGGACATCAACTCTGTTCACTTCAGGCACACCGGAAAACCGAAGTAAACAAAGTTGCGTTGACTGCGTTAAAATATTTTAGCGCATTAATCTTGGCCAGATTAATCGCATGGATTAACTTGTTAATGGCATGATTTTGACTTTGAAAAGTCGAAATCACCTCTACATAATTGGATTGGATGAATGGATTCATGATTTTGCAGGAGTATTTGATTTAGTGGCTTCTCTGCCCTCTAGAGCGACCACTTCAGGTTGCCCGCCACTTGGACGATGTACAGGCGAAGGAGAACAGCTCTGTGAGCCTGAGCTGTGCGTTCGCCCCCTCACCCAGGGTGGTGCGGTGGTTTAAAGGTCGTACGACCCTGAAGACCTCCAATAAGTACAGCATGAAAAGGGAAGGGAAGCGAGCCCAGCTGACCATTCATGGCTTGACAGGGATGGATGCAGGGCAGTACCGCTGCATGGCCGGCGGGTCACAGAGCACAGCGCACGTCAAGGTAGAAGGTAGGCTGAACATGGTTTGGGGGAAATGGAGGTAAATTAATAACACCTTTTGTAGTGGATATTCATTATCTTCTATGTCCCGCTGTTATTGCAGTCAGGACGCTGAAAATGGTCAAACACCTTGAGCCAAAGGAGGTTGAGGAGGATGGCCTTGCCACATTTTCATGTGAGCTCAACTATGTGGTCGCCAACGTGGAGTGGCTACTTAACAGTGTTCGCCTCTACTGCAACGCAATCTACAGGATCCAGCACATGGGAACGATGCACAGTCTCACAATCAAGAAGCTGAGGCCACAGGAGAGCAGGATCACCTTCAAAACAGGACCCCTCTCTGAGACAACCACTTTAAATGTCAAAGGTCAGCTGGGGGAACAACTGGTGTATGATTTGTTTCCATTTGTTCATTTCTGAGAAACATGCACACTTAAAGTTTGCTGATCTTTGCTCCAGAGCGGCCAGCAGTGTTCCTCAGGTCTCTCGAGGATGCAGTAGGAGAAGAGCAAGGAGATGTCTGCCTGCAGTGTGAAATTTCCAAAGAGACGGTGACTCCTGTTTGGAGGAAGGATGGTATGGTCCTGACCGCTGATGATAAACACGAGTTCCTCCAGTATGGGAATTCCAGGGCACTGATCGTCCATTGCCTGTGCAAGGACGACGCTGGACAGTACACCTGTGACCTGGGCACCAGTCAAACAAAGGCCAAAGTTACTGTACATGGTGAGTAGTGCTCTAGATGTTGAATTCTGTGGCTATTTATCAATATTTATTGGTTCTCTATATATTTACAGCAATAAGGCTCTTTTTTCATTATATTTTCCTACAGATTTACACATAACTATTTTGCAACGTATAAAGACAATATCTGTTCTGGAAGGCGAGAGCTGCACTTTTGATTGTCACCTCTCTCATGACGTTGATGATGAGCCTTCCTGGATCATCAATGGCCAGGTGGTGGTCCCTAATAGCCGAATTCAGGTTATCAACAATGGCCGTAATTATAAGATGACCATCAGCAATGCTGCCCTGACTGACGCTGGAGACGTGGTCTTCACAATTAAAGACCTAAGCTGTAGGACCATGCTCTTTGTTAAAGGTATAACCCTATAATCTCAGATAAAATGATCTGCAGTTTTGTATCTGTGATTGTTCATCTGGGCGGAACTTTATTTTGAAATACATCTCTTTTAGAGAAGCCAGTGCATATCTTCAGGGAGCTATTGAATGTCAAGGCAGTTCCAGGCGAGGATGCAGAACTGAGCTGTGAGATCACCAAACCGGAAGTCGGCATCCGTTGGCTTAAAAATGGCCACTTGATCAAACAGAGCCACAGGTATGAGATGAGTGTGGAAAAGAACCTGGCGCGACTGGTCATCAAGAATAGCACCATCAGAGACTCTGGAGAGTACTGCTGTGAGGCCGATGGCATTGCTTCCCGTGCCAAGCTGGATATCAGAGGTGTGAAAGGTCTTTCAAAAATACATTTTGACAATAAAATGTAGCATTCTCAAGTGTATTGTTGAGCAAAACTAACCTGCAGCGATATGTCCTATTTTGCAATGTGGGACTGCAATGCTAAATGTGAAGCGCGCGACTCACGGTTCATTCTACATCATCCCTTTCAGAACTCCAGCACACTTTTGCAATGGAGTTAAGGGACATGCGAGCTGAAGAAAAGGGTAAAGTGACCCTACAGTGTGAGACCAGGCGGCCCGCCAAGCGGGTGACTTGGCTGAAGGGCATGGTGGAGCTGAGGTCTGGTAGGAAGTATGTCATCAGGCAGAAGGATGTGGTGCTGTCCCTCACCATCACCTGCCTGGACAAATCAGACGCAGATGTTTACACGTGTGACGTTGGTACCATGCAGAGCCGGGCCCAGCTCACTGTGCAGGGTGAGAACATAGTAAAAGGAACACTTGGCATTGCATCACTGTGGTTCAGGGTCACGGTAGTTGGAACTAAGTTAGTCTATCTCGCACCTGAATGTGTAACGCTCAGTGACCTGATAATCCCTTGCATATGGGATGTTCATAGACCTTCTACCTAATCAATCGGTTTTGTTTTTCTTTCAGGTGAGAAGGTTTTAATCCTGGATGAATTGGAGGATGTTGAGTGTCTAGAAGGCGATACGGTCACATTCAGGTGTCGAATTTGTCCCGGTGACTACATCGGGGTCAAGTGGTATCTGGACGAGACTCTGCTGTACACCAACGAGGTCAATGAGATCCAGATGGTGCACGGAGGCTACCACACCCTCACTTTTAGACAGCTGGCTCGCAAAGACACCGGCACCATCTCTTTTGCAGCCGGGGACAAAAGGTCATATGCGTCGCTGTTGGTTAGAGGTTAGTTTTTAATGTGCCAGTGTGTTTCATTGCACAATTTCACGGGGTGTGACTTATTTTGGGCTCATTTCTTGTGTTTTCCAGAGAGACGACCCACCATCGTTAAAGCCCTGGAAGACTGTGAGGCTTTTGAAGGAGGTGGATTGGTTTTGTCTTGCATGGCCTCCAAGCCATGTCACATCCTGTGGTACAAAGATGGCTGCCTGATGTGGAACTCCTCAAGATATTTTGCCAGTCGCTCCGGCTGTGAGGCCCGGCTGACAATTCGGGAGGTCTGTAACCACGATGCCGGAGTGTACGAGTGCAGTGCTGGATCTGTTACAACTAGGGCCGTTGTAACCGTCAAAGGTACGAAAACGTATTGACCTGTCATTTCAGGAAGGGTGTAGCCTACTATTGCCCAACATTAAATACCAGAACAATGTCAATGAAACAGGTAGCGTGTGGATTATTATTGTTAAAAAATGACCTGTTTGTTGTTTTTTGTAGCCATCCCTGCAGAGTTCACCCAGTCTTTAAAGTCTGTGGAGGCCAAAGAGGGTGAGACTGTGACCCTGACCTGTGAATACTCCCTGCCTGGGGTGCAGACCCACTGGAGGAGAGGTTTGGAAAGTATCCGGTCTGGAGACAAGTACTTGATGAAACAGAGAAAGACAATCAATTCTCTGACCATTAAAGCCCTGAAGCCTGAGGACTCGGGAGAATATACATGTCAGTGTAGAGATCACCGCACCACAGCAAGCCTGAAAGTACACGGTATGTTATTAACCTTTCATGCACCTTCTTGATCATTTTATCAAACCTAATTTAGTTTCATCCCAGCACACTTTCACAGAAGAGTCTTTGAGAGTCAAATAATCATTTTCTCTGTCTGATTCTCACAGATTTGCTGTTAATATTGACACATGCGCATTACATTAGTCCATGGTTTTGCTTATAATTTGTACATTTGTGATAAATGGCAGCCAATGAAGCCAGTATTTCCATTATTCATGCCTTTTCAAATGATTTGCTGACTATGGCTCCCCATGCATCAAACCTGGCCATCAATACTGTGCACAGCTTCATCATATTTCACTTTGCTCCTGACTGTATTATTTTCCAGCTATTCCCATTACATTCGTACAGCAGTTAAAGAATATGCAGGCAGAGGAGGGAAGCAATGTCCTACTGCGCTGTGAGCTGTCTAAACCTGGAATTCCAGTGGATTGGAGCAAGGGACAAGAGCTGTTAAAGAATGGAGTTAAATACCAGCTAAAGAGAAGGGAGACCACCCTGGAGCTTCTGATCTGGAAGCCTGTTCCTGAGGACAGTGGGGTCTACTGCTGCCAGTGTACTGATCAGGTGACATCCGCCACTGTCACAATCACTGGTAAGACACCGTTAACTAATTGGCTAATTGGTGTTAGTGATGTAATGGTTTTAAATCAATTTCGACAGATAATGACTCATTCGTCTCAATCTGCGCTCTGTACTCGTCAGCTATCCCCGTGGCCTTCAAGCAGAAGCTGAGGAATGTGGTGATTGAGGAGGGCAACACTGCAATCCTACGCTGTGAGCTGTCAAAGTCCGGTCACGCCGTGGAGTGGAGGAGGAGCGGGAACGAGCTCATCAAGAGTGGAGAGAAATATCATATGAGACAAAGAGAGGTTCTGATTGAACTGAGGATATTTGATGTCAAAGCTGAGGACAGCGACATCTACACATGCATCTGTGGAAGCATAGAGACCACTGCAACGCTGACTGTTAATGGTGGGTGTTTGTTATTGAAAGAGTTTCATTATGCTCTGTTTTATTTATGGAGGAGGAGGAAAATCATTAAACTGAATTGTATTTGCTAAACAATGTGCTCATGAGGCTCGCTAACTTTGCATAGGAACTAGAACTGGTATAATAATCAAAATTACTTGATTAAAAAAATGGTTTTGAACATTTGAACACCAAAGAAATGTAAAAAAAAAAAGAAATTATGTTGTGAAAATAATCTGTTTTTTATGTAAAATCCTACAGCTGGTAGCCTACATGTCGGAGTATTTAAGAAATGTAAATATGACACAATAATACACATGTGAATGTACTTTATCCTTCCCTGTCAGCTCTTCCAGTCACCTTCAAACAAAAACTGAAGAACGTCCAGGTGGAGGAAGGACACAGTATCACGCTGGATTGCGAGATCTCCAAAGCGGGTGTCCCAGTGGAGTGGAAGCTCGGAGGAGATCTGCTGGAGAATGGAGATAAATACCAGATTAAGCAGAGGGGCTCGACACTGGAGTTGATCATCAGAGACGCTGAACCAGAGGACAGCGGGGTCTACACTTGTGTGTGCAGGGAGCAGAGGACAAAGGCCACAGTGAAAGTTGTCGGTATGTTGCACGTGTGAGACGAGTGAAGAAGACCAAGAAAACCGTCTTGTTTCTTTGCGTATTGTTAACTGGTCCTTTTTGTTAAGGACAGTGAGCGACTTGTAAATCACTTCAGACGAGTGGGATTGGCGACATTATGTCAGGACACGCTGTCTTTAAGCGGCTGTTTTGGTCTCTGACTTAAAGCATGCGTTATTTTTGCCTATTATAAAAAGGGTGTACTAAAATTTGAAATGGCATGCGTTGAGTATGACTGGAAATCTGAGACTCTTGTGCATCCAGCATTCAGCCGAATCTCATTTTAATCATCAGTTCCGACCTTTCAGTCGATGTACACTGTCACTTCCACGTGGCTCCTACTGCTCTCTCCCCCTACACATCCCATGTTTAGACAAAGGGGCGTATGAGACACTTAATGGTCGTGCCTGTGTCTAATTGTACGCGTGTAGCTCAGTGTCTGTGTTTGCCTCCACAGCTGTCCCCGCAACATTCACGACAAGTCTGAAGAGCCAGGAGGCCGAAGAAGGGAACAGTGTGACTTTGCGCTGTGAGCTGTCAAAGAAGGGCGTCCCGGTGCAGTGGCAGAGAGACACTCTGGAGATATCTGAGCAGACATGTCGGGGGAAGTATCGGATGAAGCTCGAGGGAAAGTCAGCTCAGATGACAATTCTCACCGTCCAGTCAGAAGACGCGGGGAAGTACAGCTGCATCACAGGAGACCAGAAAACCACGGCTGAAGTCAGAGTGAAACGTGAGTCAGAAGCGCGCAAAGACCAAGCAGAACACATCTGTTTTCAATAGTAGATTTTCAGTACATTAAAAATAATGATTATATGGTGGTTAAAAAAAAGGTATTTTAATCAAATCAATGCAATACATGAATGCAGCGTTTTCTTCTTCACCCACAACAGCCCTCCCGGTCACATTCAAACAAGAGATCCAGTGCCTGTTGGTGACAGAAGGGGATAGTGGAGTTTTCTGCTGTGAGCTCTCCAAAGCCGGAGCTCCAGTGGAGTGGAGGAAAGGCAGAGCGATGCTGAAGCCCGGAGGCAAATATGAGATGAAGCAGGAGGGACGTTTCACCAAACTGGTCGTCAACAACGTAGAGGAGAGCGATGCAGGAAAATATATCTGCAAGACTAAAGACAGCCAATCGTCTGCTGAGCTCACTGTCCAAGGTACGACAAGTCAAACTCCCCCACATGAGTTGTATTCACTGTAAAGCACATTTATTTTATTTCGTTTTTTAACCTTTCCAATGTGTTCAACAGAATCACCAGAGCGCAAACGCCAAAGAGGTCAGCTCTAACGTAGTCCAATACAAACCCAGTGTGCATTAGCACTGTGTGAGCTCCATTATGTATTTTCATTCACTCAAGCTCAATATAGAGATGAATTCACATCTTGTCGTGTTTGTGGCGTAATGTCACAGTACTTGTGACGGCATGTGCTGTACATTTCTCTTCATAAGCGGGTTGAAAAGCTACAGTAGATTCATGTTTCATTTAGAGGCAAATGGTTTGCATTTACGTACATAGCAAACTATAACTGAATTGGTTTTTCATGTAAGTGATATTACATATTTCATTTGTAATATCGCACCATATAATTCAATGAACAGTAAGTTTAGTAGTAACAGATTATAAGCATGACAGATTGTCTTGTGACCATACCTGCCGTGTAGTTTACATCACTGCTACAATATAACTTCCATGTAATATTGATTGTGTTCATTCTCCTATTCAAGACAAAGAAATGTGTTACGGAATTCAGTAGATTTGTGCATGATCATGTCACTATTTCCATGGTTCCCCCTCCAAATTAGATCATGTCGACAATCTTTATTTGGCTACACTTTCATTTTTGTCAAATCAAGCTACAACATTTGTTTTCATTTCAAGAATCAATAAAAATATAATTAATTAAAACGTTTTAAAATGACATTCCTTTTAACTCTTATTGACAGATTTACCACCGAGTTTTAAGATGCCACTGGTCAACCAGGAGGTGACGGAGGGCAACAGCATGGTTCTGCGCTGTGAGCTCACCAAACCTGCTCCTTCGGTGGAGTGGAGGAGAGGAGGAGAGCTGCTGAAGAATGGAGACAAATACCAGATGAGGAAGAAGGACCTGCAGGTGGAAATGAAGATTGTGGACCTCAGTCTGGATGACGCTGGAGATTACACCTGTGCATGTGGGGAAAAAAGTACAAAAGCTAGAATCGCGGTGAATGGTGAGTACGGCTTGAACCACTCGACAATAAGTTGCACCATTTGGCTTCAGTGCTTTTAACTGCAGTAAAACAGCTGATATCAATATTGCATAATATTTGGTGTTAACACATTCCTCATCCTGGTGGCACTAACCAGTCTTGTTAGCTTAGACAAGAGAGCAGTGCAACAGACATGCAAATGGATGTTTTTCTCCCCATGTCTGCTCTAGAGCGGCCCATGAAATTCCTCGTAGAACTGAGGAACATTCAGGTGCAGGAAGGCAATGGAGTGACCCTGTCCTGTGAGCTCTCCAGGCCCGGCGCTCCAGTGCAGTGGAGGAAGGGAGACAGTGCGTTGACCAACGGAGAGAAATACCAGATGAAGCAGAGTGGCTCCACCTTGGAGCTCCACTTGAGGAAAAGCCAGCCCGAGGACAGTGGCACGTACAGCTGTGTTTGTGATGACATAAAAACCACAGCCACCGTCATCATCACTGGTGAAAGCCTCCCGGCAATATGTCCCTGAACACATGAGCCTGCTTCAGCAATTTGCACGTCCTAGATAATATAATTTTTTTGCGTTCATTCCTCAGCGATCCCGGTGACTTTCAAGCAGAAGCTGAAGAACCAGGAAGGCGTTGAGGAGGGCAGCGTGACACTGCGCTGTGAGCTTTCTAAACCTGGAGTCCCAGTCGAGTGGAGGAAAGATGCTCAACTTCTGAAGGAAGGAGGCAAATATCAGATGAAACAGGAGGGCAGGACGGCTGAGTTGTTGATCACAAACTTGACTCTCACAGATTTGGGGGAATACAGCTGTTTTGTTGGCTCCGCTGTGACTTCAGCTGACATCAAAGTGAGAGGTACGTTTCGCATGGAAGGACCCTGCTGTTTTTTAACCACAGTTTTGTCTACAGTCCGCTATTGAAATTTCGATTCATTTGTTAATGTTGTTTCTCCACAGCAATTCCTGTAACATTTAAACAAGAGGTGGAGAATTTGGAGGTGAAGGAGGGGGACAGCGGGGTTTTCTGCTGTGAGCTCTCTAAACCCGGAGCTCCAGTGGACTGGAGGAAAGGGAGAGTTGTCCTCAAACCCGGATACAAATATGAGATGGTACAGGAGGGACGTCTCACCAAACTGGTCATCAACAACGCGGAGGAGAGCGATGCAGGGAAATACACCTGCAAGACTAAAGACACCGCATCGACTGCTGAGCTCACAGTCAAAGGTAAAGTAGAACCTCACACCAAATGGTGTTAAATTGAAAGAATTAATTAAAACAGTAAAATGATATGAATCAATAAAAAAAATGTTATTACATAGGAGTGAGAAATTTCTAATCATGTAACCGGTACTGATTGAGGGAACGTTTTCAAAGTCTTTGGTTATTCTCCTTGCAGCTCCTCCCATCACATTCAAGACAAAGTTAAGGAACCAGCAGGTGGAGGAGGAGAACGGCGTGACGATGACCTGTGAGCTGTCGAAGCCCGGCCTCGCTGCGGAGTGGAGGAAAGGACAAGAGCTGCTGAAGAGTAATTTTAAGTACCAGATAAAAAATCGAAACAGCAGCATGGAACTGACCATCAAAAACGCACAGCTGGAAGACAGCGGTCTTTACAGCTGTGTCTACGGTGACGTCAAAACCACAGCCAACATCACCGTAACGCGTGAGATAAATATATTTATATAGTATTCAGACCTCATGAAAGTAAAGAAGCTAACATGAAAAAAATAAATAAAACAATACAACATGCATTTTTTCGACAGCTATCCCCCTCACCTTTAAGCTGGGTCTGAAGAACCAGGAGGCCCCCGAAGGAGGCAACGTGTCCCTCCGCTGTGAGCTGTCCAGGGCCGGAGTGCCCGTGCAGTGGTGGAAGGCGGAGGACCAGCTCCACCATGGGGGAAGGTATCAGATGACACTGAAGGGGAAGACTGCTGAGATGCACATCAAGAACGTCCAGCCTGAGGATGTCGGCGAGTACAGCTGTGTCTTGGGAGAGCAGAAGACAACGGCTGAAGTCAACGTGAGAGGTATTTGACATGCTGACATTTATACTTACTTTTATAACTTTCATTGCCTGTGTATCTGTTGCTTTGAGAAGCCGTTAACCACGTAAGAGTGAAGCTGAAGATGATTAGCTCAGTATTTTTCCTTTCAGGTGTAAATTAAGAATTTGTAACTCGTTTCCTCTCCATCTATTACCAGCGGCGGCGTCAGTGTTCTTCGTAAAGGAACTGGAGAGCCAAGCGGTGATGGAGGGGAAATCTGTGCAGCTGTCTTGTGAGGTTTCCAGCGCTACTGTCCCTGTCACTTGGAAGAAGGACAACACTGCGGTGGAGGAAGGGGGAAAATACATTATAAAGAAGAAAGGCCCGACACACACACTAGAGATTAAGAAATTGTATCTGGAGGATGCTGGAGAGTACTGCTGCATCACCAGAGGCAAGAAGACCACTGCCAAGCTCATCGTGAGGGGTAGGTGTACGCTACAGCAGAATTTCACTCATGTATTTAACTAACTCGTTTACTGTATAAGAAATGTGGCTTGAATAAAAGCAACACATCACTCTCATCTAAGTTGTTGTAAACATTTCCCATTCCATCTCTAAAAAGCCAGCTGCATATAGCTTCCTCTTCCTCCACAGAGCGCGTGCGGATCGTCACAGAGCTGCAAGGCATAACGGTCACGGCGGGAGAGGACGCGGTGTTTGTGTGCGAGCTGAGCCACGCGGACGTGAGCGACGGTGTCTGGTGGCTCGGGTCCAACCCGCTGCAGAAGAACGAGATGAACCAGATGACGTGGACGGGGCGCCAGCACCGACTGGTCCTCACCATGACGACACCTGAAGAAACGGGAATTGTGGCGTTTGTGGTTGGAGAGGAGAGGACCTCTGCACGTCTGCTGGTTGTTCCTAAGGCTAAAGGTGAGCATGCTTTGGTTATTTTGGTTATTTCAGCTTAATGCATTCCAATGAGTCATTCTAAAGTGGAATTTGACATGAATTTGCAGTTTTATTTGAGGAGAAGCCTAAAGACGTTGTGATAATGGAAGGAGAGACAGCAGCCTTGTCCTGCACAATCTCGGATTTCACCTCGCCGGTTGTGTGGAGACGCAACCACATCCCCCTCCAAAACGGTGATAAATATGAGATACGCAAAGAGGGAAAGGTCAACCTATTGCGTATCCATGACGCGGATCCCCTGGATACTGGGACGTACTCCTGTGATACAGGAGATGTGCAGAGTAGTGCCAAACTTACTGTCACAGGTAAAGCAATGTTGCTTTTAGATTATGAATCTAAACATGTGTATTTGACAGAGACCGTGAATCTCCCTTGGAATGATAAATGTTTGGAAAGTGATTTTAATTGTCAAACTGTTATCAATTGAACCAGACTTCACTTTCTCTCCTATTTCGTTGCCAATAAAGTGCACGGTGCACTTTCATTGTGCTCAGTAATCTGTTAAACTGTACACATGACAATAAATATCTTGAATCTCGAATCTTTCCAGAGCTCCCACCATTCTTTCAGGAAGAGCTGCAAAGTGTGGAGGTCGAGGAGGGAAGTTCAGCCTCTCTGTACTGTGAGCTGTCTAAACTTGGAGTACCGATTCAATGGACAAAGAACCGGGTGCCAGTACGATCTGTTAGAAAGTACGATATCAGGCAGGACTGCATGCCTCCTCCAGCTGAACATCAAGGAGCTCAAACTTGAGGACAGTGGAGATTACACGTGTCAAGCTGGAAGTGCAGAGATCAGTGCTACTGTGTCAGTTAAAGGTGTGTGCATTTGGCACTGAACCATTGCTCAGTTTCCTGTTTGTATTTAACAATTGTTTCCAAATTCAATCAACGAGATTTGGCGATATGTTTTTTTTTTTCCTCAGAGCTCCCACCATTCTTCAAGAAAGAATTAAAAAGTGTGGAGGCTGAAGAGGGAGGTGCAGCCTCACTCTTCTGTGAGCTGTCTAAAGCCGGAGTGTTAGTACAATGGAAGAAGAACAGGCTGCCGCTGAGAGCCAGGGGGAAGTACGAGATGAAGCAGGACGGCTGCCTCCTGCAGCTCCTCATCAAAGACCTCAAACCCGAAGACAGAGGCAGCTACACATGTCAAACAGGAAGTGCAGAAACTACTGCTACTGTGTCAGTTAAAGGTGTGTGCACTCAAGTATTTGAACTGTAATATAACGCTAGTACATGATCTAAATCTGAAAAGTATACTTTATTTCTTCAACAACTTCTCCCATCACACTAAAATATTTACTTAAGTATCTTGCCGTCCTATTTCTTCCAGAGCTGCCAGCATTTTTCCAGGAAGAATTGCAGAACGTGAATGCTAAAGAAGGAGGTACAGCGTCGCTGCGTTGTGAGCTGTCTAAGCCTGGCCTAGCGGTACAATGGAAAAAGAACAAGCTTCCACTGAGAGCCGGCAGGAAGTACGAGATGAAGCAGGACGGCTGCCTCCTTCGGCTCCGCATCAACGACCTCACACCTGAAGACAGTGGGAGCTATTCATGTCAAGCAGAACATGCACAAACCACTGCTAATGTTTCTGTAAAAGGTGTGTTTATATGTACATTTGCAGGGTAACATTTTCCAGTAAAGCCTGCATAATATAACTCTCTGTTATTTACATCTAAACTGGCTGAAACTCACATTTCCACCATATTCATACTAAACATTGTATATTTCACAGAACTACCACCGTTCTTCAAAGAAGCATTGCAGGACATGACGGTAGAGGAGGGAGGTGTAGCATCCCTGTGCTGCGAGCTGTCCAAACCTTGTGTATCTGTACAATGGAAGAAGAACATGCTGCCATTGAGAGCCAGGGGGAAGTATGAGACAAAGCAGGACGGCTGCCTCCTGCAGCTCTGCATCAAAGATCTCAAACCCGAGGACAGCGGCAGCTACACATGTCAAGCAGAAAGTGCTGAGACCACTGCTACCGTGTCAGTAAAAGGTGTGTGCATTTGTAAATCTGCATGTTACAGTGAAGCTTTACAGCATAGGACTCTCTGGTGTTTACATCTGAACTCGCTGACGCATTTCCCAGTATAGTAAATCTATTGTATATACATTTTTGGCCCTAACTTTCTTTTGTCCCAAAGGAGATTTCTGTTATACATGAACAGCCCACCGTTAATACTATCGAAACATTATTTATGTCACAGAACACCCACTGTTTTTCAAAGAGGAATTGCACAACCTGACGGCAGAGGAGGGAGGTGTAGCCTCCCTCTGCTGCGAGCTGTCCAAACCCTGTGTATCTGTACAATGGAAGAAGAACATGCTGCCATTGAGAGGCAGGAGGAAGTATGACATGGAGCAGGACGGCTGCCTCCTGCAGCTGCACATCAGGGATCTCAAACCCGAGGACAGCGGCAGCTACACGTGTCAGGCAGAGAGTGCTGAGACCACTGCTGCCGTGTCAGTAAAAGGTTTGTGCCTTTGGAGAATTCTAACTTTATCAGAACATCTAGATCTGCATGGTAAAATATCTCACATAGAAAAAACAGTTCAAATGTTATACTTTTCCGATTGCTGTTCAATTAGTTTTTTCTTTGCTGATTTCCTCAGAGCTCATTCCATTCTTTAAGAAAGACTTGGTGAGTGTGGAGGCTGAGGAGGGAGGTACAGCTTTTCTGTGCTGTGAGCTGTCTAAGCCGGGAGTGTCAGTGCAATGGAGGAAGAACAAGCTGCCCCTGAGAGCCCACAGGAAGTATGAGATGAAACAAGATGGCTGCCTCCTCGAGCTGCACATCAAGGGTCTCAAAGCCGAGGACGGTGGCAGCTACTCATGTCAAGCAGAGACTGCAGAGACCACAGCGACTGTAACAGTAAAAGGTGTGTGTGCATTTAACAGTTAACTGTGTAGTATCAGCATTAGAGCGCACAGAAATCTGCATTACAGATATCAACAAAAACATTTCCTCCTATGTTTTGGGCCTCAAGTGATCTCCGATGCATTTTTTTCTCAATCCATAACCATATTCTTCAGAACTTGTACCATTCTTCAACAAAGAATTACAAAGTGTGGAGGCTGAGGAAGGGGGCACAATCTCTCTGTGCTGCCAGCTGTCCAAAGCTGGAGTGTCAGTGCAATGGAAGAAGAACAAGCTGCCGCTGAGAGCAAACAGAAAGTATGAGATGAAACAGGACGGCTGCCTTCTCCAGCTGCACATCAACGATCTCAAACCGGACGACAGCAGCAGCTACACATGTCAAGCAGACGGAGCTGAGACAACTGCTACTTTATCAGTAAAAGGTGTGTGCATTTGCCAATGAAGAAAACGCATTCTGCATTATTAATGCATGCATTCAATCACATGCCTAAATTTGAAGTACAGCTGATGTTTGTCTACGTTTTCTGGTATGTACTGATCTGCACCAGTTCCACCAGTCTGTAAACTGCATGCATCATCAAAAAATGTTTAGTCCTCTTCAATTTAAGTTTTCAATTCTTACTTTTTTTTACCCAGAGCTCCCACCATTATTCAAGAAGAACTTACTCAGTGTAAAGGCTGAGGAGGGCGGTACAGCTTCTCTATGCTGTGAGCTGTCTAAGCCCGCGGTGTCAGTGCAATGGAAGAAGGACAATCTGCCACTGAGAGCAAACAGGAAGTATGAGATGAAGCAAGATGGCTGCCTCCTCCAGCTCCACATCAAGGATCTAAAACCGGACGACTGTGGCAGCTACACGTGTCACACAGGAAGGACAGAGACCACAGCTACTGTGTCAGTTAAAGGTGTGTGCATCATAAGTTGTCCAAAAGGTCATAATATAGTATGTGTTAAAAAATGTAATTGTGCCCCGGTCTGGTATAAAACATTTTTCAATTACGTTGATGATTTGTACAATCTGCACCCATTTCCTAGAGCTCCCATGCTTCTTTAAAGAGGACTTACAAGGTGTAGAGGCTGAAGAGGGGGGTACAGCCTCTCTGTGCTGTGAGCTGTCTAAGCCTGGAGTGTCAGTTCAATGGAGGAAAAACAGGGTCCCACTAAGAGCCAGCAGGAAATATGAGATGAGGCAGGACGGCTGCCTACTCCAGCTGCACATCAACGACCTCAAACCTGAAGACAGTGATAGCTACACGTGTAAAGCGGGAAGCGCGGAGACCACTGGTACGCTGTCAGTGAAAGGTGTGTGCGTCTTGATATCAAATCTGTTGCAGCAAGAAGATTTGCTAAATTTACAAATTTTTATGACAAACCTCCACCACGCGTAAAGCAGTTGTCAACCAAATGTGTTTAATTCTCTTTATAGCACAACTACCAATTCCACCGAAGGCTGAACCTCCGACAATACAGCCTCGGGCAAAGGGCACTGTTCCCAAACCAACTCCTACTACAGTGGACAGGAAGCCTGAACTCCAAGAGACAAAACCTGTTCCCCCAGAGCCAAAAAAGAGAGTGAATAGAAAAGCATCGATTACAAGTTTAGACAAAGATGTGGAGCCATTGTTGGACCAAAAGCAGGGCATCCAACCTGCAAGGTTAACAGAAAAACACTTTGATGTTGCAAAGAACGAAACACAACTGGAGAGGCACGAGGAGAAAGACAGCCAGGTGAACAAACCGGTAGACAAGTCAACGAGACGACTGGGGAAGGAGGACGTGGCGGACCGGCAGGTGGAAGAGACAGCAAGGCCTTTGGAAACAGAGAAAGATGGTTTCATGGAGAAACGAGAAGGGAGGAATGCAGAGAAATTAGTCACGGTTGACCATAATGCACGTCAGTCAGAGAGGGTACCAGGAGACATTTTGGATGAACAGAAGAAAGAGGGAAACAAAATTCAAAAACATGCAGAAAAGCCTTCAGAGAAAACAAGTGATGTTGAGATGAAGCAAATCCCTCCAGGAAAAGTTCCGTGGAAAAACAGTGAAGATGAGAAACAGCCTGTGAAACCATCAGAAAAGTTGATTGGAAATACGACAATATCAGAAGATGAATCTACTGCCAAGAAGGGAAAAGAAGAGGAACCCTTTAAACCACCAATAAGGTATAAAGGAAAGGTAAGAGGGGTAAAGGAACCACCAAAGGAAACTGAGGAGCCCATTGTCCAATCGGTAAAGCCTAATGGAAATTATTCTGAAGGAGACCACGTGAAAAAGCATGTTTCCACAGAGGCAGGGAGAGACAAACAGTTGTTGAATGAAGAGCCAGAGTCAGTAGAGCAACTTGAAAAGACTTTAGCGAAAGAGGCAGAATTTTCCCCTCCGAAACCACCCATGAGGATAAAAAGCAAAGCTAAAGGTGCAATGGAAAAGCAATCATCAAGGGACACAGAGACAGATCAAGATGATCGACAGACACAAGTTTTGCTGACAAGAATAGACGATCAACCGATCAAACAGTCAAGAGGATTTTTCAAAAAAGAGGTTGAAGAAAAAACAAGATTACAGAGGAAACAATCGGTAACATCTGACACCGAGACAATGGAGAAAACTAAGAAACCAGTGAAAGCCGCAGAGAAGGACTCAAACGCAAAACAGGCGATTAAGCAACCAGTAAAACCAATGAGAAAAGAACCTGGACTGGATCAGGAAATAAAACTGTCCACCAAGCCAATGAGAAGGGAGGAAGAACAACAAACAGCAACGATGACAGAAGATATTCCTCTCCTCTACACTTCGGAAGACGACACTTTCTCAGAAGCTTTGACGGAGATAACCCCAAACCACAGCAATGTCCGGCCCACTGCCCCCTCTGTTGAGCGGTTGACCCAACCCACTACTCTTCCTCGAATTAATGTACCCCAGAAGGTACACCCTCCAAATGAAGCCACACCGGAGATGGACCTCAGTGCGGAGGACGAGCCACAGTTACAAGAGGCTGCAGTCAAGATCCAGGCTGCTTTCAAGGGCTACAAAACCCGCAAAGACATGCGACCTGTCTTCAAAGAGGTGTTTAAAAACCAGAGTGCAAATCTCCATGGCACAGTCACTCTCGCGTGTATTGTTGATGGCAAACCCAGCTCCGCACGCTGGCTGAGAAACGGCCAACAGATCATCAACGACCACCGGTGCCGCTCTCAAACCGGAGAGAGCGGCTTGTGCACGCTGGTGATTCAGAACCTGGCCTCCGTCGACAGTGGGATCTACACATGCGAGGCGGTGAATAAGTTTGGCGTGACCTCCTACAATGGAAACCTTACAGTAGTACAGCCTCAGAAGCCCGGCGCGATAGTCCACAAGCCCCCACACCCGCCGCTGGCGGCCGTAACTCCGTTGCAACTCGCCCCAGCGGAGCCCGAGGCCCAGGTCAAAACACAGACTGAGGATCTGCCTCAGGCTCGTACCCGGACGCTCACGTCCCCTAAAGACTCGACGAGCTATGTTGAAAATGTGAGTGTCTCTCTGTGGGAGGCATTCACCCTGACGGAGCAGGACACTCAGATGGCAAGCTTAGAGAGGAGAGGATCTTCACTCATCGCTGCCAGCTCTAGTGAGTCACACGTTTACTTCCCAACTATAATCACAAAAAATATGTACCACTATACTATGAGGGTCTAGCACTAAATAGTATCTTCTTCCAACAGTGTCGAGCCCCTCGGATTATGACACAGCTCCGGATATGATGGAGCCTGATGGAACTGGCGCAGCTGTATCAAGGTGAGTAGGTTTGTTATCTTACTTTTATCGCCTAATCTTATATCTTGTGCTCATGAAGACACACAACATGTCTATATTGTTCCAGGGAAGAGACAAAAGCGGCAGACCAAGTTTCTTCAATAGAGGATAAACAACAGATGGCTCCTTCACAACCTGCTAAAAAACTACTGAAGGTTAAAGGTAAGAAGCATTGATATCTTTAATTGCTGTGTTTTAAATTGCTCCACTTCCCACTAACTTTCACGTCAGGTATATTTTAGCTAATTTCCTCTGTAATTCATAGGAGGGGCTCATGAGGGTAGATTGAAGACGCCATCCCCCAAGCACCACCGAGCTCACACGCCTTTAACCAGCACCGTCTCTGGATCAGAGTCAGAAGGGGAAGAAGATAAACGAGAGGTTCTTTTGTTAAAAGTTGTTCAATTTTGGGCATTTGCACTGTAGTAAGAGTAATAACAGAAATAGTAGACTATTCCCACTTGATTGTATGAGCCTCAAATGACGATGTAATTTCTTTTTTCACCTCAGACATTTGAAATGTACGTGGCTCGTGCCGATTGTAATCCCAACAGTGGAAACAAGGACAGTTTTGTTCTGAAGGAGGGACAGTTTGTGGAGGTCCTGGACTCTGTTCACCCTGACAGGTGGCTGGTTAGAACCAAACCCACCAAAAACAACCCTGCTAGACAGGGATGGGTGTGTCCAGCCTACTTGGAGAAGAAGAGGAAGGTATTGCTGTGTGAATCCATGGTTCTACACTAATACTGTAAACACGTCATATTCTGAAACTTGAATTACGTAGTTTGTGAGGTGTGCTGTCAACAGAGACCATTTCCCAAAGTAATGCTTTTGATAATCGTCTTTTGAAAAGGAAACCTTCTCGCAACTGAGAGCCCCTCAAGAGGATCTGGATGGAATTGGGTCTACCGGAGAAGAGTACAGGAGAGCTCTGAGGTCCTTCATTATGCGATTATACACTGCCACGTTACACACACCAAGAGGACCGTCAGGACACTGTCGCTGTGACATGTTTTTTAAAAGTGTTCTTTAATTGCATTTACGTTATTACGTTATTTTGGGGGGATATCCTTGCAGTTATTCCTCCCACCATTTTAAAACTTTTTTTTGGGTGATGCAGTGGAATTTATTCTAACACGAAACAGTCAAATGCCGTCAACAAATGCCGCTGCTAATCTTCCTCAAATTCCCTTTATCTTTAGCCAACTGATCCAAGGCCTGATTGATGGAGAAGAGGAGTTTGTGAAGTCGATGAAGATGTTCACCTCTCACCAGTTAAATTACTTGGACTCTAGCCGCCACGTCCCCATTAACATCCTCAACCAGAGAGAGATCATTTTCAGAAATATCAAGGACATTGTGTCTCTGCACGAGAGGTAACACACACAAATGTGCTTCTTGAGATATTATTGGATGTTTCACATGGAGATTTGTGCTGCTTTGTCAGCCTGATGTTTTAAAAATGATATTTTTTAAATTGAGTGATGATGCGGACATTATTGCATCAGGTCCATCCTCCCCGGGCTGAGGGAATGTGCCACAGACGACGACGTGGCCGTGCATCTGATCAAGTATGCGGAGCTCTTTGAGAAATACCTTCACTACATGGTGGGACAAGCCCAAGCAGAGGCCTGCCTCACTGACAAGGCTGTCCAACAGTATTTCAAAGTAATTCACAAAATCAGTTTGCATACAACAACAATCTCTAACAGGAAAGCTGTGGGTTCAGTGGCTGAATAACAATATTTTTACACTGATCTACTGTTATTTGCACACCTCAGGAGATGCCGGAACCTGACTCTGATGCACCTGTCATGGACGTCCTGACCTTCCTCCAGAGACCAGCGGAGAGGATTCAAACCTATCAGGCTTTACTGAAGGTCAGCATACAGTTATGTCTTTTACAAGAATCTGTGAGAAAACCGTGATACAGTAATTCATGTCAGCATGCTGGGGATGCCCACAATACATTATGCATGAACTTCAAACGGGAACATTGTAGCGACATGTATTATTTCCATTAAAGATGTATATTTCATCTAAGTATTTCATCGAAGCATTTCATCAATCCGTTGCACAAATTGTAGTCTTTCAAAGTGTGTCAGCTGAATGCCTGAGATGAACTAAAAAGGTTTTTCATAGGAGCTGATCAAAAACAAAGCCAAAAGTGGCCAGAGCTGCTGTCTTTTGGAGGACACCTTCTCCATGGTGTCCTGTCTACCCTGGAGGTCGGACAACCTGCACCAGGTGTCGCTCATTGAGAACTACCCAGCTCCTCTAATCGCCCTGGGTGAGCCTGTTCGTCAGGTAATTACGGATGACTGGCATGGGTCTTTAACCAAAAATAATAGTAATAGCTTGGTAAGGTTTATGTCACAACTAAATATTTTTATTTGAGCTAAAATAAGTTTTAAATTTCACCAGAAGAAAATAAAGATATGCATTTTGTAAGGCAGTCATTTCTTCTATGTGGACTTTGAAACAAAGTTCTCATTGGCTTTTCCTCAGGGAGTCTTCACAGTGTGGGAGGAATCTCCAGAGATCAAGACGGCCTCCAGAGGGCATCAAAGACAAGTCTTTCTCTTCAAGGAATGCATCGTACTGTGTAAACTGAAACGAGACACCAGCATGAACAGTGACACCTACACCTTCAAGAACAAAATGAAGGTAAGATCTGTTCACCTGCTTTCTTAAATATTGTAATTAATATATTTTAGATATATTTCTGATAATAGGTAAAACAATGCCGAAAAAGAAACAGTTTCATAAACGGATATAGTGGAAATCTTACTTACTTGATTCTCAATTGATCCATCCAGCTGAACGATGTGGAAATAAAGGAGACTTTGGGTGGAGATGAAAGGTCTTGGGGGTTGTGGCATGAGCACAGGGGTTCGGTGCGGAGGTACACCCTGCAGGGCCGCTCCGCCCTCATCAAACTCTCCTGGCTCAAAGACCTGAAGGAGCTACAGCAGCGTTCCAGCCAGCCCGCTAACTGTAAGTGTGTGAATCACACCACCATCCAATGTTTTGTCATCTGTTATCACTTAATGTGCCAATTGAGAATTATACTGGCGTCTGATATTCTGATTTGGGGAATTTCTATGGCTTAATTTTTTCAATGCATGGTGAGTTCATTCTGTATTTGCATTTGTGACTATCAACAGACCCGCCGGTGTTTGAATCACTGTTATCTGACGCTGCAACAAACATAGGCCAGACGATCAAACTGACCTGCAAAGTCGCAGGTTTGCCGAAACCATTGGTCAGCTGGCTCAAAGGTCGGACATGGAGATACTGTCCATATACTGTATTGTACTAAGATGCTGTATGAAGAACCTTTATTTCTGCGGTTTGGTTACATCGATAGTTTCATACTAAATAACTTTTGTCCACTTCTTAGATGGGCTTCCTTTGGAGGACGACCCCCGTCACATCATCACAGCAGACCGCTCTGGCACGTTCAGTCTGATCCTGGACAGCGTGACTGCAGAGGATTGTGGGCAGTATGCTTGCTATGCAACGAGCGCCATGGGCAGTGCGGGCTCTGTGGCTACGGTTGTGGTGTACGGTGAGTCGGCGGATGCATTTAAACCCCTCGAGCCATGTTTGTGATTTGTAGGTGAGCACAGAACTTCTATAGTTACCAATACTACTTATAATTATACTGTTAGAAGCACTGTGACACTAAAGGTAAGTCGCTTTGGATAAAAGCGTCTGCTAAATCACCTGTAATGTAATGTAAAGGGACTTCTATACAATCTATTACTGCTACATATACTACTACTAATACTTCTATATGTACTGACACTTGCAATAGCGTATTTGAGCCATTTCAATGGATTCAAGTGGTATATTTACAGGGGAAAAAATGGATTTTCAGCGGAAATAAAGTGGATGTGTTAAGACTGAATAAATGTCCTTAAGTACATTTTTCTGAGATTATTAAATCATAAATTTGCATGAGACAAATTCAGCCACCATCTGAATTTAACATTTTACATGCCTGTTGCATTTAACATAACTGCCACTGTTGTTCTATTCCTAACCCTATTCTTTCTTCTCTCCAGCTCCACCAAGATTCGTGAGCCGGCTGGAGAGTGCATGTCTGATAGAAGGAGAGGATATACAGTTTACCTGCTCCACACTCACAACTCCTTTCCCACGAATCAGGTATGGAAACACACAGAAGTTACTACATACTATTTTGGTTATCGTGTGTTTCAAACACGTCCGCCTTCTGGTGTTGGGCAGGTGGTTGAAAGATGGGAGAGAGTTGACTGACCAGCGAAAATACTTCATCCTGAATGATGCTCGGAGTGGAATCTTGTGTTTGACGGTCGTCAGTACAACAGAGGCAGATATTGGACAGTATGAGTGTGAGGTATAAAACTCATATTCACAACTTATACATTTGATCTAAATAGCCAGATGAGCAATCTCCCTGTAAGTTTCATATTGCGTCGTGTCATTTAGCTTTCAAATGAGTTTGGCTGCATCAAGTGCAAAGCAGGACTGTGCCCGGCTTATGTACCAACCATCGACATCGAGGAGGACCGACCACAGGACTTGCCGCCTAAAGGTAGGACAGCCAGAGTCCCTGAAGGTAAATATCCTCCACACAGGATGGAAACCCGGGACTCGGTTTCCATGCGGATGCTCCTCTCTCTCTCACTAGTTTAGCTTCCTTTCCTGTCACCTTATTTACTCCACATCATACAACATCTCTTCACTTTCCAACAAACTGCAACAATGTGCATCGATCTTCACCTTCCACCATTACCATTATCCATTCCAGTTGTTGCCATTTTGAGATTGTCCTCACATTTTTTGACCATTTCACACACACTCACACGACATGTAGCTGAAACTACCATTCCAGTTGTCACTTGATCCCATGGGTCTATGGCATAGACTGGATGTTTATCATGTGAAATGCATGAGCTAATAGCACCCCTCCACATGATTATTTTCCCCAAATCTTGCTATTTCTAGTATTGACATTTAAATAGGGCAATTATTCAAGTTACTTAACTTAAAAGGCAGCATGTAATGACTAATTCACACTTAATGCTGTAAATTCAAGCTGTCCGTCGCTGTGGAAAGTAAAAATCATTGGCTGCCTTTCTGCTAATCTACTATATCAAATTTAGCCACAATAAACCCGTACCTCAACATAACTCTGATGCTAATCCTTCCGCTTTGGTCAAATATGTTTCATGGCACACCTCCTCTGTTCCTGTGTGATGTGTGCCAACGCGTCCACGTCTGTGTGATTTTCACTTTTTAAGTTCCTTTATTTGAGAGAAATTTCCTCAAACTTAATATCTAACAAAAACTTTTCCGAATCTTCTATTGCCATTACCCAGCGGGATCTAGTGTCCACCATTCAACATAGACGCCATACTGTACTTCTCAGCATCCTCGCCTATGAAAAGACATTAATACATACGTTGTGTTTTCACTTTCCATGGGTTGAAACGGACCAGACTGACATTAGGATACAAATGTCAGATGAACTTTGAGGTGACAGAAACTGCAGTCATTTTAATACAGAGATAACAAGTAGGACTATTATTTTTCCAACATAATATGACGTGATTTTCCAACTGTAATATGTTACATAGTGTCTGAAAAAATAAGAGTAATTTTAATCAAATTTCTAGACGTTGATGAAAATAGGCTTTGAATTGTCTCAGGTAATGTTTTCTGCATTTCTTTACACCAGTCCACCATGTTTGCCCTTCCATTGTCCGTAACCTGTGTTTTTCCATCTTCCCTCTACTGTTCCTCAAGCAGGAACTTCCTCACATGGACTCTTCCATGTAAGTCATCATTGTCACGATAACAACAAATAACCACACAACATTCCCCCTTTTCTCCTCTTGCCAACGCATGCCCAGCTAACTCGTCACTCAAGGTGGTCATGTGCTGGGCAGTTGTTCCCTTTGCCCCCCCGTGCAGGAGTGGGCTTACGCTCATGTCCTGTTGATGTGTTGGGTTATTGGGTTTGAACACTCACGCACTGAGGTAAGAAATGCATTATTGCTGTTCCCGGTATGTAAGGTAATGTATTTTTACAGCCAGTGCAACATAATAATTCCTTAAAATATATTTACAGTACATCATCATTTCAAGTGTCTGGACCTTAAATGTAGAGTTTAACCTCGTGTCCGTAGATGCAGACTCGGAGGGGTGGTCCGCTGCCTTCGTAAAAAGATGGTTACAGACTGATTTCAGCCCCACCTCCATTGCTAAGATGCTCTTCCCTCCTGGACACCCTGAACAGTACGTTTAGTGCCACTTGCTTCATTAACCTTTCTCCGCAACACACATCTGCCTCAATGTGTTAAACCTTATCTGTTGTAGTTAGTGTCACAACTGTAAGATCAGAATCGGCGGGTCAAAGAGTTCTGAATAACTCCTTTTGTGAATAGTTGAATGATCAGTGTTATTTTAGTCTTTTTTTACCTTTACCATGTTATATTTTGTATTCTTACCTTTGTGTCCAGAGCTGAATGCAGCCACGATGAGGCTGTTTCTGCCTCAACGTCCGTGGATCATGTGGTACAGCAGCCTATGTGTTACCTAGAGGAAGAAGAAGAGATCTACATTTCTGAGCAAATGCAGGAAATTGCAGATGGTATCGTTGTCTCTTGGATATCAATATGACATCTATCAAACTGTATGAATACTAACTGGTCTTTTCTCCTGCTCAGCTCCTCCCTCCATGCAGGTACCCACTGAGGACCTGTGTGTAGAGCCCGGCCAACCAGCCACATTCACTGCCATCATTACGGGGAGACCTACTCCTAATATACAGTGGTACAAGGTAGGGTACCTACCCGCCCGGAGGGACATTTTGGGGTGGCTGTGTCCTACTATGCAAGTTTTGTACATACACCTACAGCACTATTTTATGTGTCTAGATTTAGGAAGGGCCACATGGGAACTATAATTATCACACCCGTTTTCTTTTAGTTTAGATTTTCTTCTGGTAAAATATGAAATAGTTTGTAGTCACACAATGATGCATAACATATTTTGGGGTTGAACTTCTAGGTCGCAAAGGTCACAGCAGAGGAAAGCATTATGTTGCTTGTTTGGTCACAAGACAGAGTTTAAACAGGTGGTTAACACCTCACAGCTGTCCCTGTTAAAACGATACCATGTCCTGTCTGATTGAAGGATGGAGAAGAGCTTGCAGCCAATGACAATGTGGAGATATCACAGCACGGAGCACGCTGCTCCGTAACCATAGTGTGCCCCGAGGGGGAGGAAAGCGGCATATACACCTGCTTTGCCTACAACGACTCTGGCCACGTCTCGTGCCAGGCTGAGCTGACAGTGGTGGAAGGTGAGACCACAGAAATACATTTCGTTCTTCGATCTTACTGCAGAGGCCCAAAGCACGTCACAAAATGACATCGATGTGGTTGACGTTGTGGTGAACCTGTTTTAGTCGAAGGTTGGGTTTTCTCTGCAGGTCCACTGGAGTTTCAGGAGAGAGAGGTGGAGCTGGGGAAGAGAAGGAAGTTATTTTCCGTATATGATGTCCATGAGGAAATAGGAAGGTGAGCCGGTACTCTAAATGGGGAAGTCCAATCTTCCCACGAGCGCTGTTAAGATTTAATGTGATGAACATCATCTCTTTGGGTTTTAGGGGAACCTTCGGGGTGGTGAAGCGTGTAGTTCACAGACGAACAGGAGAGGTGTTTGCCGCCAAGTTTCTTCCTCTGCGGAGCAGCACTCGGACCAGGTCCTTCCAGGAGAGGGACTTGCTGTCCCGTCTGGCTCACCCCAGAGTGGCCTGTCTGCTGGACTTCTTCTGCACCAGACGCACTTTGGTGCTGATCACAGAAATGTATCCTTTCTGGTCCATACTGCCATATGATGATCAAGTTTTATTTGTAATCAATTATGAGTTCTTTAACGCACTTTCCAGATGCTGTTCTCATGGACTACTGGACCATTTGTTATTGAAAGGATCAGTTCCAGAAAGAGAGGTGAATCTTACTGACAAAATGTTTTTTATCTCTCAAATATTATAAATGGCTCCTGGTCAATATTCTGCTCTTCATTTCAGATCCAGTCGTACGTCCAGCAAATCCTGGAAGGAGTCGGTCACATTCACAGCATGAACATGTTGCACCTGGACATTAAAGTGAGATTTCATGTCCAACATTGCATTATTGACTGTCATTATCCTTATGCGGTTCTTAACTTTGACATTTCTATATATTTTCCCTTTAGCCTGATAATATCCTAATGGTGTATCCGCCGAGAGATGAGATCAAGATCTGTGACTTTGGTTTCTGCCAAGAAATAGACTCATCCAGACACCAATACAGCCTGTTCGGCACACCAGAGTTTGTTGCGCCGGAGATTGTTCACCAGGAACCAGTCACCGTGGCCACTGATATTTGGTAAATGAAATAACTTTTAATCTGGCATAATGAGACTGGCAACGGATAGTATTTGTGGAAATTTAAATCAAAACATTGCAATTGATTGTAATTTAAAAAGCAAAATCAGAAAACGTAACATTAATACTGCTTACTCCCTCTGCTAGGTCTGTGGGTGTTATAGCGTATATCTGGTAAGTATCATTGTACTTTTGATATTTTAAAAATGATCACAAGATGCAATATTCCAAATGAGCTGAGTTTCATTCGATCTCCTACGTGACCCTTTATCTTCATCTTGATAGTTTGGTGGGCCGGTGCCCTTTCGTGGGTGAGACGGACCGTGCTACACTCCTAATGGTGGGGGAGGGGAGCCTAAACTGGGACGCCCCCGACGTTACCGACAGAAGCCCTGAAGCCCAGAACCTTCTGCACATGCTGCTGCAGCCGGATCCAGAGTAGGGAACCAGTTTTATTATTGCTTTACACTGCCACGTCCATCCAGTCTCTCAAAGTCAAACATATTTTCTAAACTAGTCCCATCTCATGTAACCAATGAGCATAAAGTGATCAACAAATCAAACCCATTTAGCTATTCCTGTAAGCTACATTTGGCCAATTTGGAACCTTCACTGAAGTGAGATGTTGTGGGGCTCAACCAGAAATCTGCAAAATAAAAAATACGTTGGAAAGTGACTCAAACCTGCATTAAGTAAACGCATCCCTCTTTGTGGCTGTACTAGCTCCCCTTCCACATTACTAAACGGTGTTTGATTCAATGCCGATATAAAAATATCACTCAATCAAGTATAATGACATTTTCCACCACCTTGATACCTTCTCACACAGCTGCAGTGACACTAATATGTGTGGTTTTATGTGCAACATAACATATGATCTACTTTTCCTCTACCCAGGAAGCGACCATCTGCCTTTGAGTGCTTGAGCCACGAATGGTTCCAGGTGAGAGAAAATAAAGCACAGTCTGTGTTTTAATCAGGCTCACCAGATAACCAAAATAACACTATTCTAACTTAACAAAACTAAACACACTAATCTTGTGCCCACAGGACGAATATGCAGGTGACGATATGGATGAAATCAACACAAAGACTTTGAAAAACTTTATCTCAAAAAGGAAATGGCAGGTGAGTTTACCGGCCTCCACAACCTCAGGGAACAGTGAACATGGTCACCTGAGTTGAATTCACAGTCGATCATAATCGTCGTCACCAATGCATCTTCCATCTATTTCCCCAGCGTTCTTTGACCTGCATCGGGTCAGTTCTCACGTTGAGGCTCATCCCTGAACTGCTGGAAGCCCCCCTCAGAGAGACTGCAGTGACGGTGCCTCGCGAGCCCCAGGAACACAGCAGCAGCTCCCGGAGCAGCGGCTCTTCCTCCGAGTACGATGAAGCCGACTCCTTGGACTTCTTCCAGCACTGCAGCCCGACCGAGGAGGAGGAAGACACCGAGGAGGACTACGACCCTTTGATAGAGAGAGCGAGAATCCCCGACCTTTTTGCCAAACTCCACATTGACGCAGAGGAGGAAACGACATTAGGAGAGGAAGAGGACGGGGAGCTGGGAGGAAGGAGGAGTGTACTGGAGCGAAGTTTGAGCAGGCAGTCGGTTGCTTCCTCGGATGTATCCGGTCAACAGACGCCTCAGAGGGAGCGCAGGTTCAGCAGAGACGGTGGTCAATCGCTCTACCTATCCGATGGAGAAGAGGGTTCAGGGAGTGACGGGGGTCGTATCCCCCGTGGCAGTGTCATCCGAAGCACTTTCTACAGCACCTCCCACCAACTTTCACCCATGTCCGCCAGACACATGACGTTAAGGGACAAATTCCAGGCCAAAAAGCAGGAGAGAGGCCGCAAGCCACTGCGCAGGAGCTTTTCAGGACGTCTGAACGAGCCTCTCATTGAATACGTGGAGGATGAGACGGAGACCAGTCGCGGCCAGAGACGGGCCTCGGTCCAGCCCCCGATGCAGAAGTCCTGCTCCTTTGACAGTGGGGTCGGCCTCGCCCACTCCAACGTGCCACCCCACAGGAGGAGCAGGTCTCTCGATGAGTACTCTCGCCGATTGACCAGCTCACCCAAGCGCACGATGTCAGGTGAGGAGGAAGGCTCGCAAAGCGTGAAGGAAGACGTGATAGACGACGAAGTGGCTGGGAGAAACCTGTTAGCCATCCCGAGCCCGCGGCGACCCACAAGGAGAAGAGGCTCCGTTGCTCCAACGCAAGGGGCCGGCGCGCCGCGCGGATCATCTGTTCCCTCAAGCCTCTTTGCCGGAGACAGAACTGGCACCAGGCTGGATCAGGAGCGGGCTGCAGACGACGCGTTCGCCGGCTCACAGGGCTCCCTGGCCGAGTCGTCTATTTTGGAGCACGGCGGCTCTGAGTCTTCAAGTAGACTCGGCTCTTATGAGGAGCTGAGTCACGGCGACCTCAGAGGGAGGTCCAGATCGGGAGAGAGCGAAGGGTATGATGATCAAGGGGAGCCACTGATTTCAGGATCCCCATGCTCCTTCCAAGAAGTCAAACCCAGGAGCTTGCTTCCCCGGGCACCGCCACGTAACCGCACCCGCTCCAACCCCAATCTGTACGCAAACAGCAGAGGTCAGCCGGGGACGCCACTTGCAGCGAGCCCCAGCCTCTCCTCTCTGCAGGCTCCGGAGAGGCCTCCCCGAGCCAAGGACAAGAAGGAGGGATCCGGCCTCCAAAGGCATGCGTCCGCTCCGGCGCTCGAAGTGCGGCCACCCACAGGGAGGTCGCCCAGGCTCGGACTGCTGAAGATCTTCCGCAGGCAGTCGTGGACTGGCCATTCATACTCCCAGCTGGACAGCACAGAGTTGGGACCCACGCTAGGAGAGATCATGAAGCCAGACACGCCCACCATGTCCCTGAGGAAGAAAATGAGAGCATCGGCCTCCAGCCTGACCAAGCTGTTTTCCAGGTCTTCCAGCACGGAGGACGTGAGTAAAGGAGGTGAGCTATTGCAGATTGTCTATGTTTTTAAATAAATAGAACATTTGAAAAAAAGCTATAGACATTCTGATGTGGGCATTCTTTCTTTATCTTAATCTACCTGAGATATTGCTGGTCGTCAGTTATTATTTACTACTACCCATACATTTTTCTGTCGGATATAATGTTTTTTTTCTTTTCACAACAGGACCAATAGTAAAGGGATCGGCTCCCATTCCACCTGAAAGACAGCAAAGAACTGGTCTTGAAAGTCCTAAAAAGAGAAAACTCTTGCCTTCTTTTAAAATACCTGCTTTCAAGAAGTCAAAAGGTAATGATCACCCTACATTCTGCGTGTTATGAATTTCCAATCAGAAATGGCTTGAAACCCTGGTATTGTTGTTTTGCTATAAGCCTGGCTGTGTAGGCTTAATCCACTCCGTCATTTCTAGATCTGTTGGTCCGTCCCAACAAGGCTGAGGTGCTCCAGTTAGATGCAGGTGGAGTCCTGCTGGTTTGGAAACCGGTCCAGTCCAGTGAACCGGTCACCTACTGCGTGCAGTATTGTACAGACGGTGGGTTCTCACAGACCATGCAGCAGCACAGGGATACAAGAAGTGGTTTGGGTGTCATAGAAATGCATTCAGTTGTGTGACAAGTAGTACTTTTCTGTAACAACCAAAGTTGTTTGGTTTAGATTCCAGAGTAAAACTCTTGTGTCCTGCACACCGCAGGTGCAGCAGCGTGGACGGTGCTGTCAGAGGAGGTGACTGAAAGCTGCTATGTGGTGAAGGACTTACCCAGAGGAGCCTCCTATGTGTTCAGGATTGGTTGCATCACCAAGACAGGAGCGGGACCATTCAGCGATGCCTCAGCACCTGTTGTTATGGCAACTCATCCCGAAGGCAAAAAAAATACTTTCCTGTTTTCAGGATTTATAGCGATGATATAAACATCCACTAAATTTTTTTTTAAAATTGCGACGGGGTTTAAACTGTATTTATTCTGCTGTACAGAAATTGCCATTCCTCTGATCCAGACTGAGTCACTGGGGTCAAAGGTCACTGGGTCAGAGCAACAGACAACACACAAAAACTACAACTTCCTCTCTGAGATCAACAGGTAGGGATTTGAAATTAAAGCTGTACATTTTAATCATTAACATATCTTAGATAAAAATATATGTATATATTCACTGTATGTGTTTATTTACACATGAGCTTATTTTCTTTGGGTATTATTTGGAAATATAGGGGAGACTTTTCAGATTCATCAAGTCGATCACAGATTATGTTGCGGATGAGAAGAAGAGGATATTTTAATATGCTGTATGAAGGTGTGCTGATATTAGACATTTTTCATCTTGATCCCGTTTATATGTCAAAGAAAATACATTGTTTATTGACATACTTTAATTCTTTGCATTAGTATCAGTGTTAGCAGCAGCTTAGAGAACATCTAGAGAACATCTTTAGCTACTTATTCAGTAGACGCCATACAGGAACGAGTCCCATGATGCACCAGAAAAAGATGCTCTCGTATCGTTCCTCCCTCTTCCTCTAAGGCACTAATATGTGCTTTGTCCTCCCTTAGGGGTCGTTTCAGCGTAGTCAACCTGTGCAGGGACGCTGAGACCAGCCAAGTGTTTGTTGCTAAGATCACCCCATACCAGGCAGAGCAGAGACAGTTGGTGCTGAGGGAGTACCAGCTGCTGAAGAGGCTTCATCACCCCCACCTGGTGCAGCTGCGCACTGCCTATTTCACCTCCCGCTACATGGTGCTAGTGGAGGAGCTCTGTCCTGGCAAGGAGCTGCTCTACAGTCTGGCATCGAGGTAAAGGAACGGCTCGAGAAGCACAAGCCAGCAGCCACATCATCCGAGTATGGACTCATATGCCACATCCGAGAGGCTCCTTATTACTTCTCTTTTTTTTAACTCTTTAGCCATTTCTAAGAGGTCTCTAGGAGAAATGTTTTGGGTGAAGCTGAATTCTGTGTGATTCCAAAAAGGAGACATCGTAGTCGACCTATTGAGTGTTTTATGCCCCTCCCAGAGACCTGTACGCAGAGACTCACGTGGCAGAGCTGCTGGTTCAGATCCTGAGTGCAGTGGACTACCTGCACAGCCGGCGAGTCGTCCACCTGGACCTGAAGTCCGACAACATGCTGGTGGATGACTCTAACCACCTGAAGATAGTCGACCTGGGCTCGGCTCAGTCGTTCACGCCCGGTCAGCCCCTCAACATCGAGCACATCCACGGCCTCTCGGAGAGCAAAGGTACTGGAGTATTTTCTAGTTTGATATAGGAAGGCAAACTAAATTCTGTAGACTGTGACGCATGCACTAAACCTTTGACTGTCATGGCCTCCCACAGACTGCCGCAGCAAAGGTACACTTTCTTTACGGAAGGACGGATTGATGGAAGGAAATAATTCAGCGTAACTTCATCCACCTCAGCTGCCATAGCCTAACAAATCCAAGTCCATTTCACTATCTTTTTTTAATCCGTTTTCTCGTTTAGAAAATGAATCAATGAATGAATGAATGTGGCACCGCCCGCAACCGCACCACTCTTTATGGACAATATCCTGTTTATGTCTGTTTTGTCAGTTTACATTGTCCTTCCTAAAGCTCCGGAAATCCTGGACGGTCAGGGTGTCGGGCCTGAAACTGACATTTGGGCAATTGGAGTTCTGTCCTTCATCATGTAAGTACAGACAATTTTATTTAATAAATGACAATTCAAAACATTAAATCATCCACATTCTGTCTATTTATTTTTTTATTACGTAAGCTTAAATTATGCTGGCTAACTTCTGCCACTGACTGAATCTTCTTTAGTTGTGAGACGCTGAGCTAATTAATAACTATGTGGCTTTATTTCACTTTCTTCACTAGGTTGAGTGCCGACAGCCCGTTCCACGCAGAGCACAGCTGGGAGCAAGACAGAAACATCAAGAAAGGGAAGATCCAGTTTGGACGCTGTTACCCCGGTTTGTCAGAGGGAGCCTTGAGCTTCATGAAGAGCAGCCTGAATAACAAATCCTGGTGAGTGACTCTCTGAAAATGAAGTTCAGTTTACTGAGGATGTATGAATCCTAATACGATAAAAACCTTTTAGGGGGAGACCAACTGCAACCGAGTGTCTCCAGAACCCATGGCTGCGCGGCCATCGCGCCCCGCACAAAGGCCGACAGTCCAAGGTGTGTTTCTCCACGGACAAGCTTAAGGATTACCTCAAGCAGAAGGAGGAGAAACGAGACCAGGTCCGCACTAAGCTTCAGGGCCCCTTTTTCCAATGAGGCTCCATAGTGGGGGGCTTCTCGACACTATGCAGCCTTATGAACAGCACGTTTTCGTGCTATTTACCTGTGTGGCCAGATCTGTAAAACACCCTCAAATTTCGAAAATGTTATGCGTCTTAATGAGGTTCCAATGTGTATTTATCCATTGCATTTGTTGATGTGCTTTGGTTTATAGGGAAACTGATCATGGGGAAGGTTTAGTCTGAGAGTGCATGGGATTTTGTGACACGAGAAACGTTGTTTGGCTCCAAAGTATCAGACAGATGCACGTGTTTAGCCTCATGAAGTGAAAACAGTTTTCTTTGCTATTCTTCTTCATACAAAAGGCAGATGGGGTTTTTTCTGAGTGATGTATTATATGTATTAAATGAAGTGCATGAATGGAAAGCTGTTTACATTCATAGGTTGTACCCAAGTTTCATAATACTTAAATAGTGGCTCAGTCCCCCATGTGACGTCATGAGTTGATGGATGACAGATGAATTAAATTGCATGTGGTCTGATTCTGTCCTCACGTTCTTTATTCCGTCTCATTTGCACACAAACACACAAAAGCACATCTTAATATAATATAAGCCACAACTGTATCTTCTGCACCCTCCTCCTTCATAAAATTTTAATGATATGCAGAATGCGCTTAATTATCTAAACACTGTTGTATTAGTTATACTCATACAGATACTCATACAATCTATTTCTACTGCATCGGGATTACAAGACAACTGTTTAGCGGCGAGGTTCTGACTGGTTGTACTGACGTGGCCAGTTTCAAACTTTGGCTTATGAAGACCAAATGTAGCACTGAATTTGGCAGTTTCCATTTCTATGGCAACTGAACCAGCTGGCAACCACTTCTAAATATCACCACTTTTTTGGACTAAATCTAACATAATCTAAGGATCAGTGAGCTTGAAACTGTACTGAGCACCCTCCCACCATATGACATAAAGGGTGAAAGCAAAAACAAATGTATTCCAAGATGAAAGTGTGTTTCACTCAGTGAAGACGGAGTCATTCAGGCCAGAATAACGTGTTTTGGTCCTTCTGTCCAGCAGATGAAAGACTGGGTTCAGCTTCCTCCTTATGATTTTTCCTGAATTTTCTGGATTTCCTGTTTGAAGAGAGATTAATATAGATTTTGTGCGTTCAACCAACGGTCTCTTCCACAGCGTCATACAAATGGTACGAGAAAGCATCATTTAGGGTTTTACTCACATCATTGAGCATATCTTTCAGCTCCTCGTAAGCCCTCTCTAAGTCATCATTGATGATGACAGCATCGAACACCCCCGGCTCGTTACCTAGCGAGGAGAGTTGGATCAGCTGCAATGGTTGTCTTTGTTTCAGCATCATATGAATAGAACAGCTGATGGAACCTTACTGAGCTCCATGTCGATGCGTGCCGCCTCGAGGCGTTTCTGCAAGCTCTCCTCCGTTTCCGTCTGTCTGTCTCTCAGACGGGTTTCCTTAGAAAAACAAAGAAGATGTTCACGTTTCTACCGAGAGCTGCTGCACGCACACATTCTTTTCTCAGATCAACTTATATCTCACTTGGAGTCTTGATATGAATTTATGATGATCAAAGTATAAAGTAAAAGAAATATGTTGAGCATCTATATCACGGCCCACACATTACATTAATGTAATATATAAAGTTGTATGTTTACCAGGATCTCCATCGATGGAGGCTGGATGGAGATGTAGATGGGGTTCAGGTCAGTCTCTTTAATCCTCTTCACCCCCTGGATGTCCACATCTAAGATGCAGATTTTGTTCATGGCCAGCACATCTTCTATGGCAGCTTTACTAATGAATCAATGCATAGACACGTGTTTAAATCACATAAAATGAATGATAGGATTACACAGCTCATCATAGATTCTGCGTGTAATCGTGTCATTTTGTGCCCGTCACACATAGTAAGACGATTGCTGCGTTGACCCGAGCGGCTCAGATCGGCGTCGTGAGTGTGCGTCAACTTCAGAGTAAGAGACAGAGATTAAACGCGGCTCTTTTTAAGCTACGAAGGGGGGGGGGGGGGTTGAAGATCCGCCATCTGCTACGTGGCTGCTACATATCCTCTTGATCCCTGTGGCAAAGCCTGAATGTAACACGACAGTCTCAGCTTCTATTTCATTAAGTTCAATGTCCCTGACACTGATACTGTATTTTTGATAATATTAAATAACAGATGATGACCTTTCTTTGCAGGTGAGAAGCTCCCTAAGACAGCACAGTGAATGCTTATTGAAAGCAGCAACCCGTTGGTCTTCAAAATGAAAGCTTCTTCACAAAACATTTTTCTGAGGTTTCTCTTGATGTTACGGTGAAACATGTAGTGGGATTCATGCAGGGATGCAAACAACATGTACCTCGTTCCATACATGTTTCCTGAAAACACCGCGTTTTCAATGAAGTCTCCGTTGTCAATTCCCTCCTGCATGACCTCTCTCGTTGAGAAGTGGTAGTCTGGAGGATGCATTAGTAATATTGAACAAAGCTCCGCCATGAAATCTTGCACAATGAAAATCAATAATTGAAGAGAGGTGATGCACATAAAATGAAGGCTCACTCCCAGTTTTTAGTAAAAGATGCGTCAAGTTTCATCTCAGTGATGACAGAATGTCAGAATGTCGCAGCGCAAAGGCTCAACTGGTTTACAATTAATCATTTTTATTAACTGATTACTCTAAGCCGGCTTTCAGACTCTTGAGTATGTAGTATACAGTCATTATCTAATACAATAGGCTGGAAAAAAAATTGTAAAAACTGTAGCGGAGCACATTTTATTGTCCACACCTGATCCTTAGGCCTAAATCTTCACAAAATCAAAACATCTGGGGATCTAAAACTGCAGAGTTTTCGAAACAAACACGTTACTACTTCTTACACTGATGGAAACTGTGATAGCACACAATCTTTAGCATGAGAACATAAAGGAATCCGTCCGACTAGAGTACGGTAACAATCTGAAGGAAAAATGCTGCACATAATAGCAAGTGACAAATAAATAAAGCCTGAAAACATGGCAGACAGTACTTTTAAAATCTGCATGAAATATATCCATGCAAGATCAAAACCACAGTTTGACCCAAAGAAAGCAAAATCCATTGTCGTGTTCTAAATGAATAAAGATTCTAATCAACATCTGATATTGTCATTAAAAATTAAAAATTAAAGCTCATCTCGAGGATTCCAACACAACGATTAAATGCACATGGCAGCAGTGTTTGAAGCTCACACCGATCCTCCTCCCAGCAAAATAAGTCAACGTTAGGAATCTTTCTGCCGTGATGCTAATGGTTGCTTGCAAATCATCAACGCTCCACCAGCCACAGTGGGAAATTACACACACCAAATCTCATGGGACTGGAAATGGGAATAACTACCGAGGCATCACAGGGGGCTATTTTCAAGAGGGCTTTTTACTCCAAAGTGTAAAACTGTCTGATCCAGATTCCTTCGATCATTTAGCGGTTCTTTTTTTTTTTCTTTGTCTATTCTCTTTTTGTTTGTCACAAGACCATTTCCTGTAAAAGTCCAACGGCAGGGTGCCAGGATGATGAAAGTAACCCCTCTGCTTTAAAAACTGTGATCAGGAATCACTCTGAGGTCACCTTCTGATTCGTTTGGACACGAAATAGAGGTTGGTTTTTCTAAGACTTCAACGGAGAAGGGCGCTATTGGCAGTAAAATAGCCCCCAGAAGCATTGGGAGCTTGTTCAGCCCTATGGAGAAAGCAAAAAAGGGACAGAAAGAGGTTTATCTCTTCATACCAAGTGAGCTATACAGGGGGGGGGGGGGGACAAAGCCATTTGTGCAGTTCACTTGGGAGTAAGAAGTGTTATTTTAGAAGGATGCAGGTGGGGGAGGCTGGGAAACAATGGTACAGAAAAATACTCTTTTATCAAAATTCTATGATTTAAAATTGAGGCCCAAGGCTCGTATGGTGAGTCATTGAGCATGATGGTCCTATTGTCCAGTTGGGCTGCTGAAAACATCAACCGGCCACTTGTTGCACTGACTGTACCTTTGCCATCTTCTTCTCCTGGTCGAGGATTTCTTGTTGTGTCTGTGAGGAGAGAATTACATCATTAAAACCCACCCAGAAATAAGCTAATGAATCGTCGTTATTTAGCTTTTAATAGATATCAAATAGCAAATGCCCCAAAGCCTCAGCATTAAAATATGCACTGATTCAACATGAATTTAAGCTTCTTTCGACACTCCTGCCACTTCCTATCCGGACAGGATACTCCGACTGAAGCCGGGTAGCCAGTCAGCACGCAAACGTACGAGAAACGCTGAAGCCGAAGATGCCCTCGTGATCCCTCATCAGCCTCTTCATCAGAGTACTCTTCCCTGCTCCGGAGGGGCCGCTCAGCACCACGGGCCTCGGTCCCGGCATTGCTCTCAGACGGAGGGACAGATGGGGTGAAGACGGGGACGCGGGAGGCTCAGCTGTTATGCCAAGACCAGATTAAATGCGTTGAGCCAGTGTAAATCTCGCAGAAAGGGTTTAGCGGCCGTTTCTACAAGAGAAAGTACAGGAGTTTTTTAGAGTGAATCATTTTCTGCAGAAATGGTTTCCAGTTAATGATTTTTGACCAATTCTACTGTAAGTAATCAAGCTCAGCAAATACTCTGTCAACGGAGGCACAGTGAGGTTAATCGTTCAAGCTCTTAGACACTAAACTGTCTGGGAGGAACATTCTGGAAATATTTCAACACGTCCAAGTCCTAATTGCTGACCGGTTGGACAGCCGGAGGCCCTGATTATAATGTTAAGAGTGGCTATTAATGAAGTCATGGCAGTTCAGCCAGAAGGATTAATTGGATCTGGGCGAGGCAACACAAAGGGTCCAGGACAGGTGACCCGGTTACCGGCTGTGTTGAAGAGAGGGCGATATTTCAGGACAACGGCTTAATCAATTCCTTTAGAATCCTCAGTGAAGCAATTGCTTCATAATACAGTCAAAGTCTGTAACAGTCAAAATGAAACAACCTTTCCCTTCTTGTCACTGTAAATAATTCACCAACGGTTTATAGACAAGAACAGTGAAAGATCAATAAGACCAATAACTTTCTAAAGCTTTAAGTCTTAAACACAGCTCCCATAAACTGTTGCTTAATGCAGGATTTCCTCCATTTTTTGTATGCACACAATTTCAGAGCATTTAGAATATCAAAGTAGCAAACAAATACTGAACATATACTATGAACTCGCAGTATAACAGACTGTGTTTGCTCTAAACAATGCTTTATAATTATATTGCAGATTATCGCCTTATTCATTGACCTGCATGTAGTTCCTTACCTTTTCCTTTCACTCTGTCATACAAAGGTTCAACAGCAGATGTGTCTTCACCCCGGCTCCCTGATGAACTACAATGAGCGTGTGTGTGTGTGCGTTAGTCTGACTCACCGAAGCAGCTCAGTGTCACTCTCAATTACCTTCACCTCCCTTCAGCTCCACGACCAATCAAATGTGTGCATGCTGGCTTGTTTTATCCGCACCGTCCACGTAGGAGCAGGTCACAAGACCGTGTGGGCAAGGTCAAAGGTTTTCATTTAACTCACATTTATTTGTGAATTTGTCTTTGTTTTAAAGCACAAGAGTGTTCATGAAAAGACGTGTGTATGTAACCGTACATGTAATTGAATGAATGTAAAAGTCAGACAAAACTCAGACAACGTTGGTCTCGAGGAAGCTTCTTTTTTTTTTACTTTTATTTGTCGAGCACTTTCAGCAAGGTTGCTGTTCACACTCTAAAGAAGTTAAGTTGAACATGTTCACATCGGGCAGCGGCCGAGTGCCACCACAGTCACAGGGCATGAGAGAAGCATCTACTCTATTCGACTTCTCCCACTATGATGGGTGTAGAATGAAAAAACTGTAAAACACCTGACATCTGACAAATGACATCGTCCTACTATTAAGCGTGAGGAACTGAGGATTTTTGGGGCGTTCGGGCCTTGTGGTCTTCTGTCGCACGCACTAAAAGCTCAGAATAGCAGGGTTTAGTCTACATCGACTCCAGGTGAGCTGTGACGGGCTCTGCCCGACTAATCCCGCACCGACCCACTTCTTAAAGGGTGACTTCCCAACGTAGGAGTCATCCCAACGAAGCTGCCGTCGGGCCGAGACAACGCGAGGTGCCCTCCGTCTGTTCACGCCTTCAATCCACAAACTCAACAGGATGTATCCGAGCTGACCCACAAATAAGGTGTTAAACGACAACTTTTTAGACACACGCTTTATTGTAGTAACATTGATCAAATTAGATTGAATGACCCTACACAAAGAAACACGTCAATAATAAGATGATTGTGAATGTTTTCAACCTACAGGAGGTAAACAAACAATAAATGATCCAACTAAAGACAAACTGTGTACAGTAAATATAGTCGGGTTGCTAGTCAACATCAACACACACATCGATCCAAACATACACAAAAAATATGTACATGTGCTTTGCATGTGATTCAACTATTTTTTTTAGGAAAAAAATATTATAAAATCGATAAATATTGTCCCAAAGTGTTGCTTTTTTTTCTTTTTCAGTGCCTGAGCTCTCAGTTGGATTTAAAATGCTTTTTTATCTTTGATGTTGCAGCAGGAACACGGATATCGTACAGGCTGTACAAGAAGGTCAAAGGTCACACCTGCTGCTCTTCAAATTGTCAGGTGTTAGTGGTTGTTAGGATTACACTGCAGGAAGTTGTAGGAGAGGTGAGGTGAGGAGAAGGAGGAGGATGAAGAACGGGAGTCTGTGACAGGCCAGCTGCCACACAAATCCACCCCGGACTGGTTCCAACAGAAGAAGCCCCTCTTGTCATCGTGTGGGTGGCTGCGTCACAGGTAGACCCTCCTCAGGTCTCCAGGCGAGGTGATGGTGTTGCACTGAGGACACAACTTCTTTGCTCCCTAAAGCAAAAATAAGGAAAAAACACACAATAAAGTCTGAACTCTGATTATTTTAACTCCCTGTGTACGTGAATTGATACAAATGTGATGCGTTACCAGGGTTCGAAGCCAACACTCTTCACAGTGAACATGCCAGCACTGAATGGAGGTGAGAGGGGTTGTGTAGGTGTCCTGCAGACAGAAAACACAGGGGTGATTCCTTACTTGCAGTACACAAGGCGGCCACTAGATGTCCACATGATGCTTCAGGTAAATCAGCTTTTATTGAAGCCCTTCTCACAAAAGGAAAAGGTCAAGCTGTGGTGTTTAGTGATAAATTGCATCATATATTTTCTGTTTTAATGCATGGTAAAATGTATACTGTTTAATCAACCATCTTCATAAGCTCAAATAAAGATGAAACCCCTTTTTCTATTTATTGGCCAATCATTTGCTTAAGAAGTTATGAATTAAACTGTGAATGATATTTTCCCTAAATCCTCAGAGACCAGCAATACTGTGCAATTTTAAACAGCTTCTTTGTTCCCTCAATGGCCCAAAACAATTGGATGAGCAACCATCTGGCATTTTTGCTCAATAAATGAATCGACTGATTAACTACTTGATCACTTGACTCATTGTTAGAGCACTGAAGTAAAAATATTTTGAAAAAATTCAATCATTATCAGCGCAATACAGAATTGTCAATACAAAATGCATGAAAATATCCTGCCAAACTGATTCACTTGACACTCCAAAAACAAATACATATTATTAGACATGACATATATTTACAAAAATAAAAAAGCACAATACATACCAACATGTGTCATATGATACCATATAATAAAATCATCACAACAATTACAGTAAATTCCATTAAAAGAGCGTGACCGATTTGATTGACTTATTGGTCCCTACAGCAATAGCAGCCGTTTCCGCATCGCTGCGCTGTGATCTCTATTTTGTGTGTCTGCTCTGCTGATTTCATTCGGCTTCGTACTCACCATGCAGATGAGGCATTTAAATCTGTCTCCTTTAGACAACTGTTTCTCCAAATCCCGTATCCGTGCTTTAAGTGCATCCAGAGTTGTCAGTGTGGAATCCTCTGAGAGTCTGCATGCACACACACACACACACACACACACACACATACATACAGATGGACGATAACAGGAGGGGAGATGGGAGGGTGTGCGTGAGTTAGGCATACACTGGAGAGTCATTTATAAATCGAAGACAGATTAAATTATTCGCTGGCCAACATGGACACTGAGCATGAAATTTAACAGCAATCACATTGCCTGCATTCACTGTCTCATTTATCATAGGCCACGGGTGTGTGTGTGTGTGTGCGTGCGTGAGGTGAAAGAGGGGGGATGAGGTGTCAGGGTCCTCACAGAGTCAGACGCACACAGAGACGCACATACAAACACAGGACAGACTAGACGAGCAGACATACTGTACAGCGAGGCAGACAGGCTGCGATGCATTAAGTGTGATGAAATGTGCGTACACGCCTGCTATGACCTTGATTGATGATATCATCAAATTGATATTTTATTCATATGTATCAGGTTGGTGGGAGCAGGTAGTCTGAACTGAGCCCCCAAAATACACTTTACAATAAGAGAATAAGGCTCCTTCCTCCGCTCTGATTGGCTGATCTACACCTGCTTTTGTGAGCAAACTTCCTTACTTACCACCTAGTTTCAGATCCAAAGTTTACACCACAATTCAATCTTCAGCTTGAGCAGTTTGTGCTGACCGTGTAGCAGACATCCAAAGTGAATGACATAGAGTGCTTTTTTACTTAAACAGAGAACTGTGTGGGAGAACCTTATTCAACGAGTCTTTATTCTCTGTTGACTCGTTCAGGCCCTTCGCCTTTTCTCCAAGTCGGACCAACATTTTAAATATGAATTACTTTCTTAATGACTGGCCTGTTTAAAAAAAGGGTTTAACAAAAATAAAATTGAGATTATTGGACGTGAAGCTGCTGCCGAGAGATGTCACATGAACATGTTTGCTGGGTTTTGTAAAGTCTGAGAGAGAAACTTACGTTTCTATCACAGAGTTCTTGCAGGTTTTGGGGAGACCAGCTATGCTGCCGTCCCCTTTGTCCCCACCGCTGGTAGAAGGACTCGCTGTGTAAACGAACATACAAACAAAAGAAATGAACAACAGAGAGGCATCTAGCTCACATCTTGCTTATCTTTTCCTTATTTAATCCATTTATTCCGTAATTTAAAGTTTTCTCAACTCACCATCATTTGACCATTTGGAAAACTCGAGGCTTACTCTGGAGTCAGGTAACACACTGTTGCTGGAAAAGCACAACAGAACCAACACGTTACAACCAAATAAAGACGACGAGGAAATGTACGACATGGTGATTTTTATTTGAGCATCCACTGTGCACGAGACACGTACTTTGTCTCCTTGGAGTTTTCTGCTGAGCACGGGATCACATCTGTCTCTGTGTATCTGAGACCACGCATCAGGAAACATGGAACAACACGAGGGTAACAAACATTCATGTAGCTCACAGGGGCTTAACAAATAGTAAATGTTTGACTAAAAGCTTCCGGAGTTTGCAAGAAAACCAGAATCCATTAATTTCCGAAGTTTAAAGGAAACAGCATCGCCCTTCACACCGACATGTGACTTAGTAGAAAGGCAAACGTGCAAATGTGCAACCCCCACTGAGCGAAAGGATACTGCGCCCTGCCGTACTCCAGAGTGTCGTCTCCATCAACGTCCAGGTCTGCGTCGCTGTCTCGGCATTCTTTAGACGTGGCGCTCAGCAGCACTGCACCTGAGGAGCACACGACCCCAATGGAACAAACGTCTCAACAGCTGTGACGGTGGGGAGGTGGGGGGGGGCTTCTGATTTCTACGGTCAAGTAGAATTTAGGAATCACAAATGTCATGTTGTTGTGTTCCCCTCTCGCTTGTTTTTCGGTCAGTCCGCGTGGAACAAGTTCTGCAGGTCAGAGATTCCCTTTCTGTGTAAAGGGAACCCGGCTGCTTCCGACCTTCAAGGCATCCTGCTCCGCTTTTAATCCGGGCTGAAAAGTTCAGTGGTTCTTCAACTGTCACTCAGTCACATTATTCACCCTCCACCGAGTGAGATGTCACACATGGGTACCTCGACGGCACGCGCACACAGACACACAGACTTACCTTTAAACCCCCCGACTGCGGACGACGTCTGCACCCTTCTCCTGTCATTCCACTCGTCCTGGAACGCCACAGAGTCCGCTGAACCCTCCTAAAACGCACACACACAGGCTTCAGCATTAAGTGCACGATATCACTGTCTCGGTGAATCTGTCCATATGCCTCCCGCGGCCTCGAGCTACGTATCTGCTTCTGTGTTTGCGTAGCTTTGAACTGCGGATACACAGCGAGCCGAGAGGGACACTGATGCTACGTGAACAATAGGGGGAAAGAAAGAAACACACACACCTGTCCGCTTTCTTGTTTCCTCCTCTTCAGCTTCCCGATCCTGACTGGGAACAGAGAAAGAAAAGGTTGGGATGGTGATAAAGGTACTTTAACGTCGGGCCACATTGGCTTTAGCTGGTCCCTTCATCCTCAATTATAACAATTTGCCTTAAAATCCAAATGTTTTCAAAATGATCATTTTTTCATTTTCAGTAATCTTTTCATTCAGGTTTTTATTTACCAAAAATTTGAATGTGAAAATTGTGAAAAAAATATTATCTTTTTTTCAAAATTTCAAAACCACTTAGTTGATTAGTAAATTTCCCACCGTGACAATGTAGACTAGTGATTCCCATCCAGTGGTAAACGACTGGAGTTAAAAACATTTTTTCAATAATATAGATTTTGGTTTTAAAAAAGGGACCAGGCCTAAACACCAACAGTGTCAGGAGCATTTGTTGCATGTGAAAAATATTGCAAAAATCCCCACTATTCTTTAAATTCGTTAAATAACACAATACCAGTTTAAATGAATATTTGGAACATGATGTGGATGATCTGACAACAACAACATTATAGATAAATATCAAATTATTTATTTTTAAAAATATTTTCTTAAATAAAGTACCGTTTGAATTTGAATGGCCTTGTAACAAAATCACAGAAGAAATCCACCAAATTCACAAACCCTGAAGTACAATTACACGAAAGCACAGGTGCAGGCTTTATATATTCAACGACAGCAGGACTTTTTCGGCTGTGGATGCAAAACGTTCCTCCCGTCCCCCCATCCGGTCCCCCGGCCCTCCTCCCCTCACTCCCCTCTCTGATATAAAAGTTAACATGGCAGAACACCAACTGCACCTCCTCTCCCACTGTGACCCGACTGACTGCAGATCGCAGATGGGGACATTAAGTTTTAGGGGCTCTCTAATTCCCGCTGGATGACAGTGGCCCTCCCCCCTCCCCCCCCGAGGAGGGACTGTGACCCGAGTGCCGCCATCGCAGCAAACATAATGAGGGTTAAAGAGATGGTCATAGATGAGGAAGAGCTCATCAAACAGAGAGAGGAGAAGAGAGAGGGAGAGAAAGGTTGATTAATCAACAGAGTGACCCTCCTCCCTTCTTCTTCTTCTTCTTCCTCCCCTGACATGTATTTAGAAGCTCATTATGCTGTCCTGTTATAAGGCCCAATAAAGGCTAACAGACCTCGACAGCACTGGCAGTGTGAGGAGTCAGCTAATAGCTGGAGAATCTCAGTGTTAATAATACCCGTAGTAAGACGTCTGGTGTCAGGAGGCTCTGCGAGTCTACGTGTCTTAATCGCTTTTTTAAATAGTTATTTCAGCGTTGTTTAGCTATTAAAGTATTGTTTAATTCTTCTTTTTGGTCCCACTTTGGTTGAATATTTTATTATTGTTATTTAATCTTCTTTTCATTGTTAATAGTTGCTTTCTTGATTAAAACATGTGTTTTCATAGAATTGCTTGTAGCCAATAATAAGAAGCAGCAAAGATTCCATGGACTGGACTTCCATATCATCACTAGATATATTATGGTAACAATGACATACAAATCTAATTTGACTGCGTCAATTAGTAAAGCATCTATCAACCAGTGATTAAAAACACGCGTGTCTTATATAACCGCTTTAGTAGAAAGTGCTTTTCTCTTTTTTTTACATTTAGGGGCCTGGAAGCAAAAGTCATGAGCTGCTGAGGATGAAGCAAGTGGTTCTCGGGGTGTCTTACCAGCTTGTGTGCAGTCTAGGTGGGCTCCTGCGCTGTGGGGGCGTAACGGGGCAGATTTGACGTAGCACCTGCACCAGCAGAGGTCATCGACTGTTAACACATCAAGAGGTCAAAGTTGAGAGGTTAATAGCTCCTCTGCTCGTGTGGGCGCTAGGCCGGGTGAGATGGTGAGGGAGAAAAGAGTGATATCTAAACCACTGGTGTGGTGACAGGACTGGGAGGAGGTATGGGGGGGGGAGGGGACACATAACTGGTCGCATCCATGTGACCAAAAGAAAGAATAATGTTTTGGGAAAAACGTTTCTTTATTCAGCCCTTTGGAAAACAGCAGACGTGACAGAGGTTCTGAGTCTTTTCTCAGCGACAGCAGCTTGGAAACACGACTTCAACGTCAACGTACCATTTAGTCTCGTGTGTCTGTTGGCCCGGACGCGGAGAAACGTCTGCAACAGCCAGGAAGGAGATCAGAATGTTATTTTTCTCAAGTAGGATTTCAATAAGCTCTTTCACTCACATTTCTACTGGAATAAATGAACAGCAGCAGACTAGAGAGCGGCTTGGTATTAACGCACATGATATCTTTATTTCTAGAGTCACCTTTATTAGAGATTTTCAGCCGAGAAATTCAGCCGTTTTACTTTACACTTTTTGTGTTTTTCATATATACAGTATAGTTATTTAAATAAAACTGACTTAATGAATTTTACTTGCACACACGTTTGAAATTGACGTATAAAACAAGTGTAAAACTGATATAAATTCACATAAATTCTTATTAAGTCTCTGTACACTTTGAGGAAAGCTTTACTGAGCGCTAGTGAGAACAGGAATGTGAAGTACCGTCGCTCTGTAAAACTCCACTACATCAGTGGTGGATGAGTTATCATCAGCTCACCTGGTATCGGTCGGAGTGGGCATCCTCGGATCCTCGAGCGGGCGATGTTGGAGAACCTCCTTCGCGCTTGATGTGAAGCGAGAGCGTCAGAGACTAACGGAGAAAGAACTGAAAGTCAGAGAAACCGCCGCAGCTACTGCGTTGTCACTAAACTCAGCGTATCAACCGCTTACCTTCGGCGTCCTGGTTAGCTGGTTGTGCTGCTGCACTGGAGCGGCACTGCGGAGAAAAAGGGGGAAAAATGATCCGAATGCCCACGAGACGCACACGAGTAACGAACACAAGTCGTCTCCACTCTGTTCCCATTAAATTTACCAACACAATATTATCTTTTAAATTTCATCTCGTGAATTCCGTCTGCTTTCATCCGGTCAGAATTTGTGTCTGAGTCCGTGTATAACCTCATTTTACTCTTTCTCACTTTGTGTCTATCGCACGTACTGTACACGTGCACACACACACACACACACACATACAGTGTCCCCGTGGGCCAACTTCAATTTGAAACCATTACTGTCCACGAAGCGGTCGTTAAGCAGATTTGGAGTGTAATGTCTTTATTGGAGGAATCATTCTTTAGGTCTAAGCAGCAGGTAATGTGTGTCTGTGTGTCTGTGTTTGTGTGTGTGTGCACTTCTGGTCCCTGTGTGTATGTTCGAGACTGTGAGTGTGCGTGTGCTTAGGGCTCAAAGCAGCCATTAGAAGGACATTATCCACCCGCTGTGTGATTGGTCGCCTCGAGGCCAGAGGCTGTAATATGAAATATGTAGGGAACAATGAGGCAGCTTGTAAACACTGCACGCCGGTGACAGAGGAGACAGGAGACACCACCTAGGGAAACTAAAGGGAATAGTGTGTGTGTGTGTGTGTGTGTCGGGGGGGGGGGGGCACCTCTGGCTACAAAATCTGTCACCGTTTATTATCACCTGAAAGCTGAGCAGAAATAGAAAGCCCAGGACAAAATGACAAATGGATAACTGAAGGTGAGAAGAAAAAGAAAAGATGATTTGGGGTGGGATGTGAAGACTTTATTCTCAGATAAAGATGCGATCTGAAGATAAAAACACACAAAGTCGAATGAAAACGATCAAAGACGAATGAGTAAATTGTAAAATGAACGGAGGGAGATGGGATGGGGATACCTGATGTGTGTCTGGGCGAGTTCGGTCAACTCCTGCTCCATGTGTTCCTGCAGCTCCCCTGGTCGCAGAATGGCCTGGCAGACCGGACAGACCGGGGCCTGAGCGTCATAGAGACCCTTCACTTTGCCTGGAAAACAAAAGGAGAGCGAGAGAGTTTAAAGAAACAAGTAAAAAGAAAAAGTGTATCACAGTTTTGCCACAATGGTGGTTTGTGTGTTCTGTCGACATACAGCGAGAGTGAAACAAGGTTACATCCACATATATACACACAGACAGGCTGCTATAGCCCTCTGCTGTCAGTGTGTTGACATCATAGGCTGTCAATGGGAACATTACCCAGGAGGGCCACTCGCCCCATTGGGCCCCACTGATGGATTACTGCCATAAGCAGGCAGCTGGGAGCATGAGGAGCTCTACTATATCAAGATTTTACCTACTAGATGAGGTGATTTACTACTGCAAGCCATCAATCACATGTAGAGAGCTAGTAGGCAAGATGCACCTAATCACTGCACAGTCAATGGAAAACAAATGACAGAGGTGGCAATCACAATTTAACACGTTTTAATACAGAACATTACGAACAGATTAGTCTTTTGGACAGTTTCTCGGTTTCCCCTCAGCGTGACCGACTGAAGTTCCTTGAGGACCTTATCATCCGAACACCAGGCCAACACTTTTTCCCAGCGCCGCTCCAAAGTGTCGCCAGGTGCCGTCCCCAGTTGAGCTATGAGCCCCCACGATGAGGAACCAAAAAGGACAAAATGGCCTCTAAATAAAACATGGGGTGGTAAATGGAAAGTGGAGTCAGGTGTCCTTGGAAGAGCGACAGCTCTCCTGGTATCACCCCTCTCTCTCTCGCTGTCTCTCTCTCTCTCTCTCTCTCTCTCTCTCTCTCGGCTTTTTTGCATCCCCTCGCGGAAGTCTAAATGACTTTTCCCGACACGCATCGAACGTTCCCGGGCTTTCGGCGCTCTGCCGCCCGGAACATGCAGGCATCAGTAAACAATGAAATCTCTGGGCTGAAATTGAATTTATAACCACATTACCTGGACCGATAACGTCTCTGAATGGCGCCGCGATAAGAGCAATGGGATTTGATTTTCAGGTGTTTTATTGGTCCACTTTTTGGATAAGCCCCCCTTTCCTCCGACTACAGCCATTCCCCCCGCTCTTCACCTCTGTCCCGCAAAAACATCAGATTTAATTATGAGTGGGCCTGTTTGGACATATGGATGTGTGTGTGTGTGTGTGTACATGCTGTTGCTGAAGCCTGACTCTGGGATTGTGCAGCGCTCTCATAAGTGACAGTTGTCGGTTCATGACCAGCTTTTTTACACGTCTCCACCCCCCCCCCTCCCTGCGCTGCCCTCCGCCCCTGCCCACATAAACCCTGTCAGTATCAGTCAGCCTCAGCCCCTCTTCAGCCTGGGGGGTCTCAGACACACAACAGGGGGCTGTAAAACCTGCCTGTGGGGCTTGTTAACTGTTCTCTCACTACGGCAACTGGCGCGGATGGGTTGGCCCTCCCTGGCCGGGATGTGCTGAGTCTGACTGGCTCGTCTCCAAATGGATTCCCTGTGTCTTTGAAGGGTTCCTTTTGCCGTCTTTGTGTCTCCCCCGCACAGGGCTTTCTCTCGCTGGATGTTTTTTGCCTTTTCGTCATCTCTTTGCTTCACTCGATGTTCCCGCTTAGGAGGATGCATCTTTGGGCTACATTTAAGAACTTTGTGATGAAAGGCTTGATTAAATTTGTATCGCTATTTCGTGGTCACTTCACACAACAACAAGGAAACTGTCAAACACAATGGTGCTTCATGTACAAGTGGAAAATCCCAATCAGCAAACCCAAAACGCGCCTGAATACAATCTCTTATCTTCCTGTGGATTTGAAGAGAACACACCCTTAGGGAGAAAAACCCATCAGAGAGCTGCGATATGTCTGTGCCGTGGCTCCGCCATCGCGTGCTTCTCGAGATAGTGAAGTTCTGTAAATAAACAAGATATCGTCCTTGTCCCCCGTTGTGTCGTGATTGATTGTCAAATCCAGCTGCCGTTGTTCTGCATCGAGGCGTGGACCGTGACTGTCCTGCGTTGGTTGCTTGCCGCTGCAACACAGAGATCAGAATGCCGCTGACAAATCCTTGAAGCTTGGAGTCCCCCCGAGGGCCCGGGTAATGGCCGATTCCAGCGCCCATATGACGGCTGCCAGTTCTGCTGATGCAGACGGAGCGGAGATGCCTAACGTGACCTTTAGTGAATGCCACATCACATCAGGCCTGGATGTCACCGGCTGACATTATGCCGGGGCATGAAAAGGCTGTTCTGCAGGGGAGACGTGGTGACGAACGTCCCCGCGGTGACAAACCTGTGGACGTGGTATAATTCTGATTGACGCGAGGAGGATTGGACGGCTTTGAATGGCAGGGGATGTGCAAGCGAGCATTCAGGGTGGCTTGCGGAGGACGTGGTGCTGGCTTTGCGTCGGCCGGGTCTGTTTTTCACTGGCAACAAAGTGCTGAGACAACTCACTCCAACTGGCGTCATTATCCCAATCATCAAACAATTCTCTAAGCACATCAGAAATCCCTCTATAAAGGCATAACAAGCACAAACTCCATATAACCAGTAGGCGTGTAGCGATTGGTGGGGGGGGGGGGGGGGAGAAAAGTTAACGCTTGGCGGCTAACACTGTAATAGTGGGTTGTGTAAGCAGGTCCTTGGCACACTTTCAGAGGAGATGGAGGGCTATAAAAGCCATTGGCTCCTGCCACACCTGTACCCCACCCTGTCCCGCGGCCTGCTTCCTATTTAAAAGCATCACATGCAGGATATTAGTCAGGCTTTTTTGCCGTCTGTGAGGTAGAACCAACCTCTGAGGCGGAGGGGGGAGAGGGGAAAGTATGCAGGCCGCCGTTTGTTTTTTTATTGGGGAAATAATGGCCTATTGAGAGGTTGGGTATTTAATGAGCAACATAATAGGCCCTGTTGTAACACATCTGCTATGAGCAGAGTCATTTCCTCAGCTTTCAAAGGCTGCTGCGCCAACCTTTGAAACAGCGAGTTTAGTTCCTTTTGACTTCTAGATATCTGTTTTTTATTATTACACCGGTAATACACAAAATACAAATGTGCCGCTTGGATCCATGTTCAATCCTAACCACATTCCTCAGCCGATGAAGACACACTCACTCTCTCTCCTGGCTTGACCTCAAATCTCCCACAGTCCAATCTAATTCCAGCATCCTTCAAAAATATCCTTCCTACTCGGCAATCAATTGTGTTTAATGTATTAAAGACACTCACCACAACCACCGCAACCTTTGGCCCGTCCACAAATCAATGCCTCGTTAGACCACTAATGATCATTCATTGACTAATAAGATCTGTATCAACCTCTTGTAGAACATTGATTGGCCTTTGGCCCCTGTGGTGCTCTGTGCATTATGTGGACGACGGGAGACGGCAGTTGTAAGTCCTGGGGAGTCAGGTGATAAAAAAGCTCCTGGTGGGAATGGACAGAAATCCTGAACCTCAAATAAACTCATTCTGAAGCACCTCAGGCCAAATTCCTTCTCTTCTGCCCTACAGATCAATGGACATAACCTCTCTGACCACAAGTCAATCAGCACACACACCCACAATTCCTCTCGTTCTTTCTCTCTCTCTCATCTTCTCCATTAGGGATCACAGCGGTTCCATCGTGTGCGGGCGTGGCTCCGCATGTATGTGTGCAATCATCTCACTGATGGAGAGTGGACTGGGTAGCTATGCGACTGTGTCCCTGCCGACAGTGTTTTCCCCTTCTCAGGACCCGGGGGCCAAGATCGAACCCTGCCCGTGCCTCGCTCCGACCAATCAATCAAGCCCTCATTGAGATGCATGGCTCGATGATCTTTGATAGTGACTTACAGATTGCAGAGAGGTATAGTGGAAGTCAGGGGGGAAAGATGGCACCGTCCTTGGGTATTTGCGGTAACGTGATCCTGCTTGCAGGCCACATCATGGGGGAATATCTGCAGGTCTATTTGAACACTGAAATATCTGAAAACCATCATGTCCGCTGATTCACGGTGGGTGCGGAGCTTATACCCGCCAATTATGTTCTTTTTTTTTACAACATTAATGAAGTCAAGAGGTTTTCACAGGTCCGCTTGGTTCTGGAACTGATACCCAAAAAGTCCATATTATCATCAGCCTAACTAGATCAGGTTTCTTCCAGAGTGCATCCAAGCAAACTCCAAACGAGGGGGGAAAGAACTGGTATTTTGACAAATTGACAAAGCCTGTCTCTATTTTGGCCTGTTCACGTCCTGTTTGGGCATCGGGGATTTCTGGTTTCTTTGAGATACAGTCTTTTTATATTAATCTTTGAGTCAGGTCAAAATGATGATGGATCCATCAGGACGTCTACCTACCTTACCCCCACCTTGTTCGGGTCTCACCAGGAACCTTTGCTGTATCTCTTTCCTCCTCTCTCCCTCCTTACTCACACTCTCGTTTATCTGCCGTCAGCAGCTGTGATCCTCCAAAAATTGTGATGTAATCCAGCTCGTACTCCGGGCAGCAAATGCCAAATCCAGACTTTGACATTTTCTGACTGCTGTCTGTCAAAGTCAGTGCTGCCGCATTGGATCAAGAAGCCACAGAGAGCGGACGGCAATAGAGATGTTCACCGGTGGCCTGTCACTCGTCTGATGCCATCCACCGGCACTCGCTAGACGGAGTGAAATGTACAGAGATCCAGCACTGTCATACTATATCACATTGTCATCTTGGACCTCTCTCAACCCACTTCAGGCAATCAATTGCCACGATCGGTTTAACTTGAGTTCCTTTTTGCCAGTAGCGAAAGGATTTTTTTCCTCCATCACATATAAATGTAATCGCATTTTAAGGATTTCACAATCTTAATCTTGTACCGGCTCATAACAACCTACCGACTTTGTGTTCGATAAACAATTTGAAAACAAAATAGGTACCGAAAAAATGTACATTTAACAGAAAACAGTGACACCCACATCTTGCTTGCTATCAATTTGAGCAGCAATGAGCCCACTCAAGTTGTTGGAGTGCCTTCTGGAAGTTAACATGAAGTCCTATATTTAAGCCAATTTCAAATTTACA